TTGCCCGTGACTGTGACCTTTAGTCAAAACTCATTAAACTGTGCAAAATAGAACTGAAGTAATTTTCAGGTAGTATTTATAATGCTGTGGTTGGAATTGAAAGCATTGGGAATAGGACTTTATTTTTTAAAAGCTCTCTCTGAAAGGAGGTATGTCACAGCTCACTGTCGACTAAGCTTCTCCAGGCTGTGTGCTGGTGGTCCTATTTCTGGGTGTGCCCTGAAGTTTCTGTTTGTTCTCATCTCTGGTTGTGTGAATCTTTTTTTGGCGTCGTCACATGGATACTTTGTGAGCTCCCGTTTTGGGGGGCGTTCTGGATCTTGCAGGCCATTTGAAAAGTTCCTCTTTCTTTCAGCATCTGCAGTTACGGTACATTTCCTGGCAGACCTTACTTTTCAACTGCATTGAAATAAGAAGCATTCTGATTCTCACATTGTAATAACTGCCTTTTTATCTCCTACTCTTACTTAACACATTGGTGGTCTTCACCTCTGGCTGCGCATTATATTGGGTTGTCGGAAAAGTCATGACGCATTTTTGCAATGAAAAACATTGAAAAAATACGTCATGACTTTTCCGACAACCCAATATTTACCAGGGGAGTTTTACAATGACACCGGTACCCTTGCCCCATCAAATCCTGACTTACGTGCTCTGGGGTGGGGGGTCTGAGCACATAAGTATTTTTAAAAAGCGTCCCCCCCATGTTAAAAATGTGCAGCCAGTGTTATAACGTGATTTCTGATGGCTATATCATCCATTCAGTTAGTTTAGATCGTTTAAATAGAAAATGATATGTAGCTTGGGATAAAACGCTGGTTGTCATTTGGCTTGAGGACGACTAGAGAATAAAAGAGAAGACAGCTGGGCACTTTGTCTTCGCTCGTCCAGCAGCTGATTGGGATCATTGTGGGCTGTGGACTTCTGTTTCCCCGTGCCTGCCGCTGGGCGGTTTTTCAGTTCTCCTGGCACAGTGTGTGGCAGCTACATGATTAAAGAGCCCCCAGAATTGGGGAGGTCATCCTCTAAAGAACGCCTTGTAAAGATAAGAAAGATGTAGGAGATACGTCAACTGTAAAAGTGACCAGCAAGCCTGAGGAGGCAGTTTGTAAATGTGCTGATGAAGAGATCCAGGACATGGGGGTCCTGAGATGATGGAGTTTATCCATAGGCTTGGGTAGAATCCAATTCGCGATTTATTTAACAAGCACTTACCTAGGGTGTAACACCTGCCAGGCACGGTTCTCAGCAGTTTACCTGTAAAATTAATTCTGGTTTCACAACCATCCTTTGGTGGGCACTATCCACATTTTGGCGATGGGAAACTGAGGCCCAGAGAGTTCAGTGACTTGCCCAAGGTCACGCTGTGGGATGTGAATGCAGGCAGTCTGTCTCTAGAGTCAGGCTCTTTATGGGTGACCTGGGGACAGTGTTCTCGCTCTGGGCTCCAGCATTCCTGCTTCCGTGGGCCACTTCCTGTGCATCGGTTTCTCCTGTATTGGTTAATGGGTAGATAACATTATGTGATTTGAACAGCAACTTTTATTTACTCTCTTTTCAAGCTAGCCTTTGGGAATTCTTCAGTTTCTACTTCCTTTAGTTATTAAGATTTCTCTTTGGGTTTTATGATTTATGTATCTTGTTTAGTTTTTAAAGGCAAATCAGACATTTTTATCTGGAAAGGACAACTATTTCAGGCCTAGGCATGAGCACAGTTGCCTTTTTGTCCTCAGTGAGCTATAGAACAGACTTGGAAAAAATTCTCCCAGGATAACTGGCATGCCGCCTTATTTCCCCTTGGTCACTCTTGTGTGAAATCCAGTGGGTGGGAGCTGATAACATTTTTAGCTGTTGGAAAACCTCAAGGTGCCTGGATTGCTACACATGCGATTAGTGTCTGAAAGAAAAGTCCCAGCTCAGTGGAAATGACAGGGAAGCATTTCTCTCTTTTCTTTTTAACTAACCCTGGTTGTTGCCAGTTTTTAAAGATGTCTTCATCATCTTCTCCCATGGGTATCCACAAAGAGTCTGGAGAAGGCTGCTTATTTTCTGCATGTTGGTGTGCAGTGCAATTTGACATGCAACTTATAATTAAATGATCAGGCTTAAGACTGACCTGCTATCAGTGTGCTAAAGGAGAGGAATTTCATTCGGCGGGTGATGAATTCCAGAGTACATGCCACTTGTCAGTGGGCTGGCCCTTCCTAGCAGAGGGCAGTGGGCCTGGTGATTGGAAACTGGCACTTCATTTTGACCTTTAGAATCGCTGCAGGGCAGGCTGCATACCTCCCACTCCTGCTAAGCCTTTTCCAGGCTGGCAACAGGTCGCTTTCTCCATCTCGCCTACCCCATCAGATGCTTTGAGGAAGCCCGTGGGGCTTTGTGGGAGAAGCGGGGGGCCCTGGCTTTGGGTCTGGCTCTGGGTAAGGGAGAAGACACAAGTGTCAGCATGTGGGTGTCTTTCTCAGCAGGATGCTCTCCCCAGGGCTGGCTCCATGGGGGGCGGCTGCCTGCCCCCTAATGAGGCACTGCCACCTGGCCTGTCTGAGAACGTGGCTTGTTCACAGTGATTGAGGTGAAACTTTTTTGTGTTTCTCGGCCATTTGACTGAAAACAGTGGTTTATTGGCAAAGGACACTACATTTTATATAAATATATATGTGTAAGTGTCATGCCTTCAATCCATGCTCCAAAGGCCCATAGACCAATGGGTCTTCATTTCTTTTGTGGCAAGGACCCCTTTGTACCTGAGTGGTAAGAGCCCGTGACCCTTTCTCTGAATACTGTATTTCAATGCAGGCAATAAAATACAGAGTTTTATCAGGAAACTGGGCTTCCTTTTTTTTTTTTTTTTAAGCTGAGCCATCTTGCCACCTGTTGGCAGCTCAGCTTGGGCCAGGACTCGAACTGCTGTTGCTCAGAGCTCAAACTCTTGAGCAAGCTCTTAACCAACTGAGCCACTCAGCCGGCCCTCAGAGCTCAAACTCTTGAGCGAGCTCTTAACCAACTGAGCCACTCAGCCGGCCCTGGGCTTCCTTTATAAAGGGCAGGGAAAATAGCTGTTGTGATTTTGAAATGGTGATGTGCATAAACACTTGAAGATATGGTGACAATTGTAATGTGAACTTGAAAGTCCCTGTTATTGCTATCCATGACAAAGCCACAGGTATTGCTCCTTAATATCATTTCTGGTTTGTTGCCAATATGTATAATTGAAGGAAATGCTAAATTTCAGTTAGAAGATGGTGAGAATAAGCATTCTTTCCCCTTTCAAGGTCATGGACCTCTTGGGTTCTGTTCCCACTGTAGTCAACGACAGGGCTCTGTAACCCAAACTGAAAAGCTGCAGGCAGAGTCACAGAATTTCATCAGAAACAGATTCAGAATCCAGAGAGAAGCTGTCAATGATGTTCTAGAAATATAGTTACCGCTGCAAGGGGCCATGTGAGTGTAAGCAAGCAAGCCCAGGAGAACTGTGACTTACTGTGACTTCAGAAAGCCTTTCCTGAGCTCCCCCTGGGAGCGCAGATGTGCCCAGAGGGCTTGGGTCCAGGGTGGTTTATCCTCCCACCATCAAGGGGTATGGAATTGGGGGGCAGCAGGAAGAGGGCTGATTAGTCCTGGGGCCTGAGACGGCTTTGGGAGGAGGCTCCATTTTGAATTTATCAATCGCCCTTCCTGGAGTCGGTGAACTGTCTTCCCACACAATGAAGAGATGAAGGAAAACTGAAGGGACTGTGTGAAAACCTAGCGACACAAACGCTGATCAAATTTGGCCTCTGCAGACCAGCCCCAATGCAGGGGGACCCACTGGGCTTGCCACGTATCTGGGATCTGCACCTTTTCGCAGGTTTTCTAATGATTTAATACGAGGGAATAAAAGTGTTCGAGCGTGATGAAAAATGTGAGTTCTTTGTGGGTTTCACATGTCAAGGTCATCCCTCCCTCCCTTTTTCCCTCCCTTTGTCCTTCCCTTCTTCCCTTCCTCCTCTCTCTTCCCCTCATTAGAGCAAAGGTGGGAGTCGAGATGCCTAATGCCCGGTGCAGGGTGTAAATGAAGCCTCTGACATGAATGAGACTCCTAACCATCTTGCAAATCAGACCAAATTGTTACAAAACAAACCAAGAAATCTTACGTAAGAGAAAAACTGTGTATATATATATTTTTTTAATAAATGGAGGAGGTAATTTATGGCTTCACTTACTCAACACATTTATAGGCACTGAATACGTAGGGGCAAGTAAAACCATGTGGTCCAACCCTCCCTGCTGATAGAGAGACATATTAACTGCATAACCAAGATGTCGATTTGCTCTTGTACTATGTGTGAGCCGGTGCTCAGAGGGAGTGTGAGGGGCAGGACGTAGGGCGGGGATGGGACTGACAGAGACTTTAAAGTAGTCTGGAAAACAGCCAAGGACCCTCTGGAAAGTAACAAGTGGTCAGGTGGGTTGACCAGTGGGCCTACATCCCAGGCAGGTGGATAGGAACCCGGGCCGTGGAGCAGGACCTGGGGCACTGGGCAGCTGTGTGTGCCCATGTGGAGGTAGACTTGCTTGGTGCCTGTCAGAATGACTGCAGTGCTGAGATGTGGCACGGACTGTGTCATAAAAAATCAAGACCCATAGTAGGAGCATTTTATTTGAACACCTTTTAAAACGCAAAAAAATAGGAACAAGCCATACAATCTTTAATTAGAAGGAAAGTAGGGCATGGGGTATCTTCTTAGTCTTGTAGGTTGACTACTGTACATGGATAGGTTGGGTAGAAACTGCTTGCTGTGGGGTGGGCCTGCAGTCACCCAGAGGAGCAGGGGACTGCCTGGGCCAATCACGTCGTCTTTCTGCACCTCAGTGTCTCCATCCAGTCCAGCTCCAGCCACACCTACATTTGGAGTCCCAATTCCATGGTCCCTCCTGGGGGTTCCCATGTGGCGTGGTCGGTGGGTGCAAACGAGAGGAGAAATAACTCATGTCTTTCTTTCCCTGTCCCCCACCAGGGCGGGAGCAGTTCCACGGCCTGGGCTCCATGTACTGCCGGGGGGCGACCGCCATCATCCTCACCTACGACGTGAACTACCCGCAGAGCCTTGTGGAGCTGGAGGACAGGTTCCTGAGCCTGACGGACACGGCCAGCACCGACTGTCTCTTCGCCATCGTGGGGAACAAGGTGGACCTCAGTGAGGAGGGGACCGTGGAGAGCCTGGAGAAGGAAGAGTGCGGCCCCAGGCTGGCGGGTGGCAACTGTGAGTCACCCAAGGTGCCCAAGCAGGTGCAGCTGGAAGACGCGGTGGCACTTTATAAAAAGATCCTGAAGTACAAGATGCTGGACGAGAAGGACGTGCCGGCCGCTGAGCAGATGTGCTTCGAGACCAGCGCCAAGACCGGGCACAACGTGGACCTGCTGTTTGAGACCTTGTTCGACATGGTGGTGCCCATGATCTTGCGGCAGAGAGCCCAGGGGCCACCGCAGACTGTGGATATCTCCAGTTACAAGCCGCCCACACGGACCAAATCTGGGTGCTGTGCTTGACACTCAGAGGCCCCCGACGGCCCAATTTACAAGATTGGCAGTGGGTGTGACCAAACGAGCTGTGGTCAGAGGAAGTGTAGAAAGCCAAGGAGCTCCTCTGTAGAACTGCACGCACAGGAGATCTGAGTGGAAACGACAGCTGGTTATTAAGAGAAGGTCAATGTGAATCGTCTACATTGCTGTGCTGTGAGGCAGGGAACAAACGAATTCTATATAGAAACCGTTCTGCAGAGCCAGGGTCCCCAGAGACCGTTGTCCCCGTGCTGCTCCTTGCCTGACAGCCTGGCCTCTGACGGAAGGTTGCCTGGGTGTGTGTGTGCACACCTATTTCAGTACCTATATGACTTTCATGTTTGCTGTTCGCAGATGTTTCTCTTCACTGTGATTTATCTTTGGTCCAACCATTTGGTACTTGCATACTGATGCATTATAATGATTCTCAACTTGTTAATTTATACAAAATCAGGAATCAGTTTTTATATTGGTTGTAGCGGTGTGAACTACACATATTATTAAAAAGAATTTTGAGAACTTAGCTGTGGAGACTGCGTTGATTTAGGCATTGTTTGTGTCCCCGGTGGACTCCTTGCTAGGTGCTCTTGGGAGATAGCTGTGAGCTTAAGGTACTTCTCTCTGTCTTTTAAAACTGCATTGAATCACTACAAATTCTAGAATATTTAGATTGGCCCTCTGCCTAGTTGTCTTGATGACATGAATTCCAATAATAGAAACAAAACTAAAAGCTCTCTTTCTGCTAAGGTCTGCTCGGGTCACCCGGGCAGTTACTGAATCAGAAACCCCCTTTCTGCTGGCTGGTGGGTGCACTCTTTGTTATTAGAGGATGCTGACAGGGAAGCTGTGAGACAATAGTTTTTGTTTTCTTAGAAATTTAATTGAGAGCACGTAGGCCAGATGTGGGGCTCTCTGTTGGGAAAGGGGTATCTCAGCCAGTTCAGACTGCTGTAACAAAATACAGACTGGGCAGCTTAAACAGCAGACATTTATTTCTCACAGTTCTGGAGGCTGGAAGTCCAAGATCAAGGTGCCGGCCGATTCTACTTCCTGGTTCATAGACAGCCTCTTTCTAGATGTGTCCTCATGTGGCGGAGGCAGAGAGAGCTCTGGTCTCTCTTCCTTCCCTTATAAGGGCACTAATCCCATTATAAGGCCCTACCCTCATGACCTTGCCAGGGCCCCACTTCCAAATACCATCACACTGAGTGTTAGGGCTTCAGGATATGGATTTTAGGGGGACACAAACATTCAACCCATAACAGAAAGCAAAATGAGGCAGAAAGCTAGTGAGAAAACAATATTTTGTGAATAGCGATTTTTTGGGGGGCAGGAGGATGGTTGCTAATTTTGTTGAGTGCCCCTGATCTCTGTTTCTGGGCCCCTCCAGCCTGCCTCCACTGCTCCACTGTGGTGCATGTTCTCCAGGTAAGTGAGGGAGCCCAGTCTGGAGGATGACATGCTGGTGCAGCCTCTGTGTGTGACTGGGGCTCCTCAGTTAATGTGCCCTGTTACTGCAGATGGTCTTAAGGTCTCAAATGTCAATTTCACAACTGTAGCCCATTGAAAAGTGAAAATGGATCAGTTTGGCTACTTTTCATTGATTTGGTTTAATGTGCCATCGTATGGGCAGAAGTTGTATTTCTTTTCTGTAAAGTGCATCATCCCTAGTGACACAGCTAGGAAATGTGCTACCCTGGAAGACCAAGGAGCTTGTCTTTGAAGGCAATGGAAAGAAGAAAGCGTCCTATGAAATTACTTCTGTAGTTCTGGCCTTGAAGACAAGGCTGGCTGAATGCACTTCCTCAGCCCTTTCCTCCTGAATAGTCTTTGATTCCCTTGCCCATCTGCTCCGAGCACCCCCACCTAGTGTCGCTGAATAGCCACAAGTTTTAGGTGTTTGCTCAAGGATGGCACATACTCCATCAACGACACTTAAGCATTTCACCTTTTATTGGTGCCCTATAAATAGACTTCACTCTGGACTGTGTCCCAGGCAGACTTTGGATGCCAGCCTGGGCTCTCTTTCGCTAGGGGGCCTGGGCCTCGGGTCCAACCACACTCATGGGTTTCTGGCCCTGACTTTACCTGGTCTCTGTGTCTGACCAGGGAACCAGGTCAGTTCTGGGGAAGATTCAGGCCGGTCAGCTGTGTGAGCCAGATGAGATGGGATTTTTCTGTTGGATGTGGGTTTGAGCTGGTGCCTTTGAACTTTCCTTCTTTCCCTTTGTACAAATGCAGCTGCCCTGGGGCTGGGAGGCCAGGGACAGCCCTGGGTTAACCTGCTGTACTTGGTCTTGGAGCCATCACTGCTGATTTTCACCTGGGGCTCTGGAGTGTCCTCATACAGATGAATGCTTTTTTCTCAACAACATCTCCTAGGTGGATATTTCCTGGTGCCCTTGAGGCGATGTGCTTGGCGGGGTGTCAGGGACGTTTTGGGTTGGATGAGTTGGGTAAGTTGTAATTTGGGTGCTATAAGCCACAGTTCCCACTTTTCCCAGGCTGCTAGGCTGGTTTCTTAAAAATGCAACTTGGTCATTTCTGAACCTGACATCCTGGTTTAAACAGAGCTACCTGCTATGCCAGGAAAATCCTCTCACAAATATCTGGCAACCACATCACCTCCAGCATCCAGTTTCCGTGTAACAGTGGTGAGCCTGGTGCTCAAAGCCAATGACACAGGTCAGAGAGATGGTTTTTATCTTCCAGAGAGAGAAGGGAAAGTGGAAGTGACTTGTGCCTCCACCTCCATGCTCCAGGGTGCCCCTGATTATGCAGACTACATACTATGGGATGACAACTGCAGTTTGATCCTTGAACAGTGTGGGTGGGGGTTAGTGGCGCCAAGCACTGTGCAGTAAAAAAATCTGCATATAACTTTGACTTCCCCTAAACTACTAATGACCTTCTGTTGAACAGAAGCCTTGCCGATAACAGTCGATTAACACATATTTTGTATGTTATATGTATTATATATACTGTATTCTTGTAATAAAGCAAGCTAGAGAAAAAAAACGTTAAGAAAATCATAAGAAAGAGAAAATACAATTACAGTTCTATGTATATTTATTGACAAAAATTCATGTATAAGTGGACCCCTGCATTTCAAACCCATGTTGTTCAAGGGTTAACTGTAATTACTTTGAGGAAGGCAAGACCTTGGAACCCAAGACCCTGTATCTGAGAGCCAGTGTGTGGTCCCTCCAGAGGCATTTAGAGCAGCGGTTCTCAACCTTCCTAATGCCGTGACCCCTTAATACAGTTCCTCATGTTGTGGTGACCCCCAGCCATAAAATTATTTTCGTTGCTACTCTGTAACTGTAATTTTGCTACTGTTATGAATCGTAATGTAAATATCTTTTTGTTTTCCAATGGTCTTAGGTGACCCCTGTGAAAGGGTCGTTTGACCCCCAAAGGGGTCGCGACCCACAGGTTGAGAACCTCTGATTTAGAGAGTATTTTGGAGGCAAAATCTGCTCCAGCTGTGGCTGGGGGAATCCTGAATTGCACTTTCCTTTGTGTAATTTCAGCCCATGGCCCACCTCCAAGGTCCTCCGACCTGCCCTCATTATGTTACTCCACCCTGTTCCCTGAGCCTTTTCCCTCTGTGGCCTGAAGTGGTCTTCAGTCCTTGCCCCTTCTCAAAGCTGGACCTTTTGGACCTGCACGGTCAGAACTGGGCAGGTTGCTGGACCTGCAGTGTAGACCCTGGACTCAGTCTCCTTGTGTTCCGGAAGCTGTTGGGCTTTGGTGCCCCTTTGCAGGACTTTCAGATCAAATGACAACCTAGTCTGGAAGTATCTGTGTCCCTCCCTAGGACTGGCCTTGAACTTACTGCCCCTCCCTCAGGAGGAGCGTCTGGAAGGCACCTGGTTTGAGGGTGTGAGGACCGAGGCCCAGAGGAATGAAAAGATGTGTCTAAGACCAGAGTCCACCAGTGGCTGGAAAGGGACGCACATCCAGGCCTCACCCCAGTCTAGGCCCTTCTGGGCCAGGGCAGCCTGGGAGCCTGCCTCTGGGCTTCAAATGCCTTGTTCTGTGTGCTGCTTGTGTTTGTTCTCTCTCATCAAGGTTGGTTTGGTCGTTCAGGCCTCTAACCAGCAGACATCCACTGCCCAACACAAGAGGAGCTGCCCTTCCTTTTATCCACCCCCATCCAGTTGTTTCCACCGGAAAAAGTCATGGAGGCCTAGAAGCAGTCTCCTGGGGGCTAGTCTGACACGCCCAGGGCTGCTGGCTTCTCGGTGGCGTGAGCAGGGCCAGTCTTGCCCCCTCTCTGTCCCGGGGCTGGCTGGCCTGGGGACGGCCAGTCTCCTCCAGGATGCACAGTATGTGTGTCTCCAGGGGCACTTCCCACCATTCCTGTTGGCCTCACCCTCTGGTGCCCTGCCTCATCCCTTCACTTCCCTGTGTGTGCTTTCCCTCAGTGGGATGGAGCTCCTCCTGGTGGGAGGGAAGTGTGGGAACCTCCCAGCAACAGAATCCTCATAGTTCAGATGCAAGAATTCCTTTTCCAGGAACTCTGCAGGTTAAATGGAATTTTCCTAAGTGTAGAATTAGGGCTATGTCAACTTCAATCCATGCAAGAGCATGGATTCCTTACCCCACTCCTCCCCCCCCACCCCATGGAGAAGCTGGACCCTGACCCTCATATGAGCAAAAGGCCTCTGGAAATGGCTGCAGTTTTATGGTCCGTTTATACCATTGCATGACCCATAGTTTCTAAGCCTGCCTCCTCCCTAGCTGCCCTTTGTTCTTGAACTTGGTGGTGGAAAGGAGGCAAGGCTATTTTTAGTCAGCCCTGTGTTCTGCAAGGTCCCTCACCCCAAGAGTCAGTGTGCAGCTGGGGAGGGCATCTGGGATTACCAGCGTGTATGCCCCACAAGGTGCCCTATTTTTCATGACTTAGCACCTAACTCTGAAGTGTGAACCACACAAAGCCATCAAAGCTAAACCAAGTCAAGCAAAAAAATCTCAGGACTGTTGATAAACTTTGTGACTGCTCCCTTGAGTGTGGGAGTCTATAGAGTAAACAGCTGCCTCCACAAGCTTTGTGGAGAGGTGCTGTGCTGGGCATCTTTCAAGCCCTGGTCTCGGCCTCTTAGCCCATTTTGTAGCTATAGCTGTTGTTATGGAAACCAGCTATGTATAGGTGAAGCTACAGTACCTTGCATCAGCTTCATCTGGTTCTCTGCTACCTCCGCCTGAGATGCTGTAGGAGCCTGCTCAGCCATGGCACATGTGGAAGTGTGAGGGAACTGACACTCGTAGGCAACCCCTGACCATTTGGGGCAAGAACTGGAGATTGAAAATGTCCATTTTCCATGCCTGGGCAGGACAATCCAAGACTGCTTCTGTCGCCTTCCTCAGTGGATCCCAGCAGGATAAAGCCCTAAATTTCCCAGGGCAGTAGTTCTCTTCGTAAGGTGCCCTGGTTCCTGGGTTTACTCTGTCCCATTCCACTCCCTGGAATAACATCCCCAAATAACCCTCCTGTGCAGACTTCTTGTCTCAGTTGGCTTCTGAGGCAATGCAAACCAAGACAGTTGCTAACCTATTTCAAATAACATTATCGGGTCCAAATACTCATTCCGTTATGTGGAAATTGTTCCTAGAAAGACCTGACTACGAGATTGAATTTTAGAGGGTAAAAATAAATTCTGTGAGTTGGGTTCCCAAGGGTTAGCCAGATTCCATAGAAATCAAAGCCAGAAATGTGTTTTGGAGACTATTTCTTGGAAACACTGAGATTTGACTTGACACTATGTTGGAAAGAATTGAATGACTTTGGAAACACGTTTGTGAAGTACCCATCCCCTTAATTCCCATGAGTGATGGTTAGGGTTCTTTCTGTAAACATGAATGCGTTATAAACACAAACACAGTTCCCCGAGAAAGGAATGACAATACCATGGACTTGGGTTCAAGTCTACTAAAACTCAAGAGAATGCAGCGTGGTGCTGAGCTGTGCACAACGCTTGCTTGCGGGCCCAGACGCAGTGCCTTGGGGGGGGGGTCACAGCAAATTTTGTGCTCTATGGATGTCAGAAAATTAAGGCAGTCAACAACTGGGGGTATAGAAATGTTCAAAACTAATTTTTATTCTGTGGTCATTACAGAGGTTAGAGTAGTCACAGGAGTACAATTCACCACAAAGAATAGCAGGTAAATCTCCAGGACGGCCGGGGGCAGTGGAAAGGTCACTTCCAAGTTTATGGACTTTGCCATCAAGTATCGGGGCTGACAGCAGAGTTATAAGGTCTTTGCTTCTGTTACAGACCATTGCCAAACCCCATGGTCTGCAAGGATGAGTGGAATGACAGCTGGTATGTGACTATCAGAGTCTTTTTGGCCTTTTTGAGGGGATTAGGATAGTTCACATCAGCAGTATTTGGGAAGATCACGTTGTCATTATGTTGGCCTAGAGAGCAGGGCCGGAGACCCTGATGTGGGGACAGTGTGAGTGAGTTCAGGAGCTCTTGGGCTGTATGGCTTTACTTGTCTATTAAGTGAGTTAAATAAGAGGATTGCCTGTGGCATTCGAAAGTGCGGTGACTATGTAGGTACACATTGAGAAGTTAGCTACACCTAGTGCATAATAGTCTAGTATGGCCTGACAGGGAGTGCTGGGGCTGTTAGTAGCTTTCCATGTTGGAGAGGCGGGCTTCATTCTGCAGAGCGGAGACAGTGGCCAGAGCCTATGGATGATGAGGGGCTATTTGGTATAAGTGTGGGTACTGAATTCCTTTGGTGGCCTTTTTGTTTGTTTTTTAAAGAAAACAAAAATAAATCAATTTGGGGGTCAGCAGCTGAGGTAATAAGTTAAGAATAAGCACCAAAGTGGCCCCTCCCAGGCACACGTCGACCTGCAGAGAAAGGCGTCTGGGTGGGGCGGCCCCTGTGAACACAGAGCATCACAGGTTCTTCATGCACACCTGGCAGCGGCTGATGTGCGTCCGGATGAGCCCGGCCTTGAGCGTGTCCGCGGAGGGCGAGCCTTGAAAGCTCTGCTCCGGGATGGTGGTGAGCCAGAAGCTGTACTTGTTGGCGAAGTAGTGGCAGGTGCCACGGCCTCCGTTGCACTCGATGAAAGGTGTGGCGCGGAAGTCCTCCAGACAGCTGCCCGGTGACACCAGTGACTGGCCGCCGCCTTCATCCCCTGCAGCCGTGTGCTGTGCAGAGGGGGAGACAGGGCAGGGATATGAGCACACTCTCCAGGGACAGGCAGGGGCAGACTGTAATTGAGGCGCCTTCTCCACTAACTGAACAACAAACCGTGAACATCTATCTACCAACACAGACCACCTGTGACATACTCTTTAATGCTAGGGGTTGGCTCAATCCATCAGGCATGCAGGAGGCAGTGCTGGGCACCAGGCATCCTGCGGAACGGGTGGGGGGAGGGGAGGGTTTCAGAAGTCCACAGTCCTGATTTGTTAAGTGACCATTAGAACAACAACAAAAGCAGGTGATAATTGGTAGGTACAGTTGACTATATTTAGGGGAAAAATATCATCTACTCCATCATCCAGTCAAAGAATGAGGTGTTTGCCTGGCAGAAGAGATACCAAAATGTTAACTTTTGTTTTAAAGGAAAAATAAAACCAAGATGTGGGTGAATATCTGAGGTTAAGTTAAAAATAAGCACCAAAAAAATGTGACATCCCCTTTCTCGCCCCCTCTGCTAATGTTTATAAAGAGGAAGGGAATATGAGTGGTTTCCAGTAGGCTTTTTTTTTTTAAGAAAATCTCTACTTGCTGATTTTTCTCTAATAAACACGTATTACCCAGGTAATTAACTATTTTTTTCCAATCAGAGGGTTGTTCAGCAGTTAGTCACTTGAGACGATCCAGCAGCTGCCAGCTGGGAGACTAGGACAAGTGTCCGAGGGAACTTTTCTTTGCCAACTTTCAAGTTCAGCTTTTTTTTCGTTTCACAAACAATTTTAGCTTTCATGAAGGTGTATGGTAGGCCCCTGGATCTCAAAGCTAATCTATAAAAAAGTGTCTTCTGGCTTGGTCGAGCAAGCTTGGAGTGGTGAGTGAGTTGTCAGAACCTGCTAATTTAGAATGGGACTATCTCAGCTTCAGTTTGCAGGGAATAAAAGAGGCTGTCCTGTGATATGCTTGGGCAGGGACCAGTAAAGAACAAAAACCTTCGAAAAAGTTTTCTGCTCACAAAATGCAGAAGCCTCTCCAATCCAGAGTTACCACGTTCTTGTTTGTTGCAAATAGGCAGGGAGAAGCAGACATCTCTTCATGAGGCATCTCAGGCCCCCAATTTGGTCTGAAAGAGCTGAGGCCATGTTGGGAGCTGCCTAGGCAGGCCCTGGGGAGGACTCTTCAAGGGGCTGGGGTGGAGGAAGTACTTGGCTGGGAGCCTCAGGGCCGGGGCCGGCTGGGCTGGGTAAGGGCTCTGCGTTTGTGTGGATCAATTTATATAGTGTGTTGTTAATATAATTAATGAAATAGTTAACGTAGTGGGCATCCAGTTACTATAGCTGGAGTTTTCTATTTTATACCCAAAGCCTATTTGACCCTAGTATTCCAGGATTTTCCTCCTCAGTATTTATCTGTTTTTAACCAACCAGTTAATTGATGTTTCTGGAGGACGTTCTACATAAGATACTTAGGATTCTAGATAAAATTCTTCCCTATGTTTAGCCTTGGGATAAACCAAAAGAGCTTTAACTTTGGTGTTCTGTTAGATGGGCAGCAAGCCAAATTTATCCTAATTACAGCCCATACAAGGCTTGGTGGCAAATTAGTGGATCCCTTCTAGGTGAGGGCAGCCCCAGGCCTAGGCACGTGGCTTAGTTAGCAAAGTGCAGGCAAATGTGTAGGCTGTATTCCTCACTCCCTGGGCCAGGTACCATTGTGCAGTGCACAACCTGAACAACTGCCTTGTCTGATTATTCTTACAAAGGCAGCTGTTCTTGTGGCTTCTCCAGCCAGGGTGTGGTTGGGGAGAGGAACTGTATTTCTACTTGGTGCCATGTTCTGAGAGAGCACTGGCAAGTACCACATACCATGAGGAAGGAATATCCAATCCACAAACTCCGCCATCCAACTGGGCAGTGGGGGATAGACACATCCTGGCTGTGGACCGCTATGGCCACAGCGGGGGCCTCGCACACAGAGCAACGGCTGATGTAGGGCTTGATTTCATCCTCTGCCACAGGCATCATGGGCAGCGGGGCGGTGGTGGACAGCCAGTAGGACTTGTCATTCCTGCTGGCGTAGTAGCAGATGTCACCAGGGTTGCAGTACAGGAAGGGCATGGTGCTGAACCGAGCCAGGCAGGAGCCCGCCAGCCCTGCGGAAGAAGAGCACAGTTGAGTGTGGCTGGAAAGACGCTGCTCCAGGTCTGGCCAGGCTCGGGAGGCCCCACGTCAGGGACCTCCCCCAGTAGCCACCTGCAGGGGCTCAGCTGCACACTGGGGGACCGAGACAATTCCCATTTTTTTGGGGGGAACAAACTACACTGACATTTTAGCCTGGCCCTTCGAGAACTTCTCAACACACACACCTATGGACCAAGAGGGCCAGCAGGGAGTGGTGTCTTTATGGAATAGCACCCTGGATGAGGCCCATGTTGGGGGGGTCTTAGAGCACTAGCCCTGAGAAACCCGATGGCATCCAAGATGAAGGCCTCGCTCATCAATCCCCACGGCAACCTCCCCGGAGGGAACTCTGGCCACTCCCATCTTCAAGTAACTATTGCTTCTGGGTAAAAGATCAACTATTTTTTTAATGGCCTGAGTGAATTACTTAGCTGGGCAGGGTTCCCTTTTCACACTGATTGCTTACAAGCTTAGAGCCAAATGTGTACCCCGCCTTTAGCAGGCCTGTCAAGGGCTGTGGCCACCTTCGTGGCCCTGGTCCCAGCTCTCTTTTAGGCCCTGATCCTTGTTTGCTTTGCCCTGTGGTTTTTTTTTTTTTAACTTATTATGGAAGTAGAACATATAGACAGGACTGTGCACAGACCAAACACTGTCCCACCACAGACACCACAGACTAAGGCACCCTCCCCGCAAGCCCAGGCTTTTAACGTGCACTTGCTACATTTTCTGTATGCTTTAAATCCTTTTAATTTATTTTGACAACCAGGTTTACTTGAATAAATACGAGCATATGTACCCACATATCCATTTTCCTGGGGGTCCTATATGACTCCCAGGCCTTATGGGCCCCAACTGACTGTTTACAGAACTTTGGGCAAAAAGCAAGAAAGGTGTGAAGCTGCTGGTGGCTCCCAGGTAGAGAGGAGCCAGCGCAAGGCACTGCTGAGTTTCGAGGCAGGTCTCTGTGGTCCTGACCTGAGGTTCAGGGGCATCAAAGGCCATGCTCATCTTTTCTGAAAGCCCAGGGATGTGGATGGGCCCAGTGTCTTCAGTTAGGAGGAACTCATCTGCCTTAGCAGATTCATGTACCTCACTGTGGCCACTGGATCTTGACACCTCCATCTGAGCTGGCCCAGAGGCGCTGCGGGCGATACCTACCCAGGTCCTGGTTGTGGGCTTTCTCCTGGCCTTCAAAGTACAGCAGGCTGTATCCACTCCAGAGCTTGTTCATGCCCACGGGGCACATGGGCTCCTGGTCCGTCTGACTGTGCTTCACCAGGAGGTAGCCGATGCTGACACTGCGGCCGGGCATGCCGGGCAGGCCAGGGGTCCCCGGGCGGCCTGGCTCCCCTAGGGCCCAAGAGAAAGGGGCCGTTTTTCAGCTGCCATGTGGACCTCAGCCCACAGCGCACGGCTGACTTTGCAGGGCGACATTTACAGCTGTTGCTCGGCTGTCTCCCAAGGTCAAGGTCTCAGTAGCTCTGCCCTTGAAGAGACCAAGAGCCTCCTGGGGAGGACTTGACCTCTGTTCTATGCCCAGTAAACATGGGATGATGACAATGATGGTCCTGAATCAGGGCACAGGCTCAGTCGGCCCACAGACTTCCCCCTCAGGGTGCACTGGTGCTGAGCAAGTACTAGAACACCTGGAAGGGTCCCCAGATGCATTGCAATCCAGCCTCCCCATCCCCAATGAATGGGCCTGCTCTACCCCAAGTGGCAGGCCCTCCTTTGCTGGATGCTCAGGGAGAGGCAGCTCATTGCAGTTGGGCCATCCTGGGGTTAGTAATTTGCCTCCTGTAACATCTACTCAGGGGGCTCGATTCTGCCCCTGGAGCACAGCATAACGTCTACTCTGCCTCCAATACGACAACCTTTCAAGTGTTTGAAATCAGCTGTCCTGGTTGATCCTGCCTTCCCAGCACCCCTCCTTTCTCAGGACATTTTCCTATCTTGTCGCCTTCACACAGCATATCCCTCCACCCTGCGCTGTCTCGGTCCCCTAGTCTGGGTGGCTCCCATCTGTCTAAGTGTGTCTTCAGATGTGCATCCCCCACATTACATAACCTCCTGATGGGGGAGTCCATCAGGAGGGCGGTGGATTGCTACTTCCTGAGATCTGCGAGCTGATAATGTTGCCTCATACCAAACTGAGCACAGGTGGGTGACAAACCTCAAGAATTTTTTTTGCGTGACTTGCTATGGCTTCTGACCTATCCCATCCCACAAGTGTACAAATAATATTAAGAAATCAATAATACAAGACTTCACAATGGCTCCTGTTAATGGAATTGGTTTCTTTCAGCTCACTGTCCCAGGCCTTCAGATCTTTATGAATCTTGTTTCTCAGTGTATGTCAGTTGCTTCCTTCTCTGAGGCCCATGCAGATGTCTCAGAGGGAGGAAGGAAGCCAGCCTGTCTTGGGGCTCTCTGTGCCAGGTGTTCTGCCAGGCGCAGGTATTCTGCTAGGTGTAGGTGTTATGGAGTAAGCCCAGGACCAAGGCTGCAGCAAGGGCCCTAGGAGCTGAGCTGGGGTTGCGGAGCAGAAGGGGCAGCCTCTTATCTCTGCTCATCTTGGCAGTTGTTTGTTCCCTCCCTGCATGCCACAGTCCATTGGTCAGACCACAGTGGGACCTGGAAGAGCTCCCCTGCCCTCTGCCCCTTTCATCGTCCATCACTTACCTTCCTGGCCAGTTGGCCCCTGGTGCCCCATGGGCCCCTGGTCTCCTCGGAATCCGGGAACAGCAGACACACCGCCTCTTCCCTGGGGCCCTGTCTTCCCTGGAGCCCCGGGGAAACCTGCACAGCCACCAAAACACGTGTGAGTGACACAGAAAGAGTGACAATGCTTGGCATCACTGGTGCTTAACAAATGCTTTCAGCAAGAAAATGAAAGTGAAAAAGTGAAAACAAAGCAAATAAGAAAAGGAGCCTTTTCTGTGCAGCCCTACAGCAGGGTCCTACCTGGATCTCCTGGGGGCCCCTGGGGCCCCATCTCTCCCTGTGCCCCCGGGGGGCCTCTCCTTCCCTGCGGACCCGCAGGCCCTGGCTGGACAGCAATCTTCTGGGGGATTCCTGTAATTCCCGGAGATCCCAAAGGACCAGGGGGACCTGGAAAGGGAAAAGAAAGGCCAGCTTACAAGGGGGACCACTTGCTTTCTTGCTCTGATTTCTATTCCTTTTTTTTTTTAAACTTGTTGAAATCAATCTTGGAACTTCCTGAAACAATCTTGCTCTCTAGAGATGAAGACGGATGATCACCCAGCTGAGAGGCCACTCAAGAATTATTGTCACTCACCAAGTGGCCGTGGGAGCACAGGCAGACCCCGCTCCCTCGGCCATGCTTTCCTCTTTGCACTTGAGGGTTTGGGACCCATGACAAAGAGTGACTTTAGAGGGGTACCCATGTCTGGAGGGGCAGGAATAGCTCTGAAGTCCACTCCTGGCAACAGCTGATCTAAGATGTGGTCCTGCAGGTGTGCGGACGGCCACTTACCTGGGAGTCCTCGGTCTCCTTTGGGTCCCTTTGGGCCTTGGTCACCCACACTCCCGGTGGTTCCTGTGTTTCCCATGAATCCTTGCTCACCTCTGGGCCCTTCAAGACAAGCAGGATATTGAGGACACACATGCCTGGGCAGGGGCTCTAGTCATCTCTGACCAGTGCTTCCAGCCTCCTCGAGAAGAGGACTCCTTTGTGTGGGCACAGTTACCTTTTTCTCCTGGGAGACCAAACACTCCAGGCTGGCCCTGGGGCCCGGGGTCCCCACCCCATCCTTTGGTTCCTGGGTTTCCCGGAGCTCCTGGGTTCCCCTCATCTCCTTTGCTTCCAGGGAAAGCAGCAGGTCCAGGTGGCCCTGGGGGGCCTCGATAACCTGTTGACATTGGTCATAAGAAAGGAGAGTCTAAACAGGAGGAAGCACAGTCATGGCCGGGGGAGTGGGACTCACTTCAGGAGGCACCAAGGAGGCCACACAGAAAGTCATCCGTTTAGGGGACCATCTTTGGCAAGTTTGTAACATTGGGCAATAATGTTTCTTTTTATTGTTTATTTGTATTGTAAAACATAAGTAACATAAATTTACCGTTTTAACCATTTTAAGTGCACACTTCAGTGGCATTAGTATTACACATTCACATTGCTGTGCAACCATCACCACCATCCATCTCAGAACTTTTTCGTCATCCCATATTGCAAGTTGATAGTCCTGGCAGCCCCCACTCTTTTCTGTCTCTGTGAATTTGACTCTTCTAGGGACCTCACATGAATCACACAGCATTTGTCCTTTTGTGTGTGCCCACAGAGATTCCAATGCACAGACGTGTTAGCCCTGCTTACCTGCCAGGCCAAATATCCCCGGTGCCCCTTTGTCTCCAGGTAACCCAGAGATGTTGGAAGGGGGTGTGACGCCTGGAAACCCTTGAAGTCCTGGACTCCCAACTGGGCCTCGGTCCCCTTAGGAGAGAAACGGAAGTTGTTTTTAGTATCAGCATCTGACCTTTGAATCTACTGTTTGCCCTCCAAGCTATCACCTATCCAGGAACACAGAGGTAGTGATGGAAGGTGCCCTGAGGGCAGGGAGTGTGGGAACACAGCAGGCTCTTGGGATGGGTCTGGAGAGGCAGGGGTTTTGTGGCCCCCACTCCCACCAGCCCCATCCTGCTGCCAAGAGGGTCCTGCAGACCCACCTCTGCTGAGATCTTGTCCTGATGGGCAGGCTACTTGCTCAGAGACTCCCTTACTGTGCTCAGCCAGTGTGGCTAGTTGTGGTCCCATTCTGACAGCGTCACATGAGAGGTTGCTCTGTTGGCTCTGCTAGCACTTGTGATGGGATGGAAGGTTCCAGTATTGGCAAGACGAGGCTTACGGACTGCATTGATATTTTTAATCCTCCCTGGGGCTGTCCTTCAGTATCTTGGATCACAGCTACCGGCAGGGTCCATCCTCATTGCTCACAGATTCTGTGTTTGCATTTGGCCTGTTCACTGAGGTTTACTGGTGACCCCTAATCAATGGTCATGGTTTCCTGGACAAGCCGGAGAGGCAGAACATTTGAGTCCCTGTTTCAGCTCAGAGTGTAAACAAGGATCCTTTTTATGTATGCTTAGTGCCATATATATATATATTTTTGGTATTTTTGTGGTTTTTGCTGATGATTTCACTGTTTAAATTGGCTCCCAAGCATCATGCTGATGTGCTGTCTGGTGTCCCTAAGCTCAGGAAGGCTGTGAGGTGTCTCATGGAGAAATTACATGTGTTAGATGAGCCTCCCGCAGGCCTGAGTTATAGCACTGAAGGCCATGAGTTCAATGTTAATGAATCAAAAATATGTAGTCTATAAGGTGTCTTTAAACAGAAACACACATAAAGCAAGTTTATACATTGATGGGTGGACAAATACGTGACCTGGGGCTCACAGGAACCAAACTCTGCATTTCCACTAGAGGCAATAGTTCGGTATTCACTAATTCAATATTTGCATCAATATTATATATTGAATATCACTACTGCAAGTAACAAGAAATCGACTCTATTTGAGTCCAAGGCTGGATGGAGCCCATTGGCACGAATTGAACAGACCCTAGAGGGCAATCCTCACCTAAGGAAACGTGTGGGAACCCGATTCCTCCCTGTGCTTCAGCCAACCTGACATTTATGGGGGCCCATCTGTGCCAGGCGAACGTGAGTGCTGCCGAGGCAGTGGCCAGATGAATGGCTACCAGGGAAGGAGACTAGGTTCTCCCCTAATCGCCATACGAGTATTTGTTTTCCCTTAAGGTCTGGGGACTCAGCGATCAGTACTAGAGCACGGCAACAAATCAGAACATCACAGTATCCAGGGACCATCATCTCCACTGCAGGCGGAAGAGCGAGTTGCGACAACACCGTGCAAATTTGTGAGACTGAGAGAAAGAAACAAAGTGTCCCCCACACAGCTTCACGACTAATTGGTATTTATCAGTAGCATGAAGAGACTTTCATACTGGGAGGTTCTGGTACCTAGCACAGGGGACAGGATCTTGTGCGTGCAACTTCCGAGTGGGACAAAGAAACACATGCCAGGAGAAGCACTTAGAAAGGTGTCACCTTGGTCTCACTAATTACAGGCAATAAGCGAGTGTGTTCACTAGACTGAGGGTTTAACGAGCCACCACCTGTAGTTAGATATAAAATGACACCAAGTGAGCTGCTTCTAACTACTGTCACAAAGTAACCGAAACCAATGGTGAGCGGTTAGAAGCTCCAGGCTGGCCAGATTCCCGTGAAAACATAATGAACTTAACTACAGTGGTTAGGCCTCTGTCATGAGACTGGAGCGAGCAGGAGTCGGTTTGCTGGAATCAGGGTCAAAACAACTCCGTTTTCTCACCCCATGAGTCTTCCTAAGTATTGAAATAAACCCCTCTGCCTAATGGAGGTTTGATGAAATGCCATTTCGTACAACTCATAGGCAAATCATGATTGGAAGTTCAAATATCAGCTGCAGAAGTAACTGAGGCTGCAAATTCTAATTTCTGACTTGAGATGAAAATCATGCGAGGAGCAACAAGAAATTGAGATTATTTTCCTATTCTTAGAGAAGAGTGTGAGTCCAGACCAGCCCTCTGTAAATGTCACCACCGAAAGTCACCTTTGCTTATCCCTGGCCAGAGGCTGAGACCCGGTGGGCAGAAAAAAGGGTCTGTTCAGGAAGCCTCCACGTCACTGGGCTATTTTGATTTTCGTGCAGGATGAGGGGCTCCTAAGGGGAAAATGGGTTTATAAGAGACACTATGCTTCAGGACTGTTTGGGAACCTGTGATACGTGTTGGGTTCCTTTGATGGAGTGCAGGGAGCTCCATAGTAGGTTCAAGAAGAGTTTTGAGAAACTGATGCTGCACAGATGAACTTGTAAAAGGACCCTTCGAGGTACATTAGGGTTATCCTGGGGAATGCTAAACTTTTTCAGTGGAGGTCAAAGAGAATCACCCTACAACTTCGCAATATTCATGTCAAACATGTATATATTGAGCATGTGCTCTAAGCCAAGCATTGAGCCAAGGTATAAACATGGGAATGAAAGAGAGGTAGTTTCTGCTCTTGTGGAAACTGTACTATCCCTCGTCAGTTGCAGAGTCTGAACAACATGCTGTGTGAGTCAGATGTTAGCACTCATCGTGATACAGGTCAAGATGTTGTGATGTTCTGTGAGTGCTGTCTATGGGCCAGGACTGCAAGCCCAAGTGGAAGAGAGGCCTCCCACGTCCCTCTGTTCCTGCCAGGTTGGGTCTCAACTCCATCTCCCCAAGGGACAATTTCTCAGACCCGAGGGCAGATGGGTGAACTGACAAACATGACTTCTTATCTCTCGTACCCATTCTGGCTGTCCCGATTCTGGTTAAGCAGATGGTAATGTTGGAAGTATCTGGCCTCACCTGGAATTCCTCGCTCCCCTTTTTGTCCTGGGGCTCCGGAAGGGCCTGGAAAAGTGTTGGCCTCTCCTGTGTCACCCCTTTCCCCAGCAGGCCCTGGGAAACCTGGGTCTCCATGGATGTCTGCACCTGTGACAGGGTTAACACAGCAGTGACGTCAGCATCTTCAACCACGGAAAGTTAATTTTCACAAGCAAAAGAACAGGAATGCTCTTTGGTGAGAGTCAAAAATAGGAAAGCAGGAGGAAGCCGTGGTGATTTCAGATTGCTCTGAACTGAACTGTGTCTCTCCAAAATTTATATGTTGAAGGTCTAATTTCCAATGTGATGGATTTTGGAGGTGGGGCCTTTGGGAGGTGATTAGGTTCAGATGAGGTCATGAGGGTGGGGGCCCCCATGATGGGATTAGTATTCTTACAAGAGACCCCAGAGAGCATGTTCTCTCTCCTCACTGTTGAGGACACAGTGAGAAGGTGGCTGTCTGCGAGTCGGAAAGAGAGCCCTCACCAGAACCAGATCATGCCAACACCTAGATCTCAGACTTCCAGTCTCCAGAATTGTGAAGAATAAGTGTCTATTGTTTAACACTGCCCCCACCCCGCACTGTGGTATTTTGTTAGAGCAGCCTGAGCTGACTAAGATAGCATTATTTGTTTCAAAGCACAAGGACACCCCAGGACAGGCTGGGCACCAACTGTCTTCCCTGTGCCAAATGAAATGAAAGATTACAGATAGAGCATTGGGCAAAGCAGATATTTTGGACAACTGAGGGGCACAAATGCACTGCAAACATCCCCAAGATACTGCTGAAAAAAGCAAAACATTTGTTTTTCACTCCTTCTAAAAACCTGACTGGCCCATCCAACACAATTTTTGACTTAAGGGGATGGATTCTTAAGGATCACATCTCAGTGGTCTAAAGAACCACAGGGACCTTGAGACCATGTGGCCTCAGGGATGACCAAATAGTCCTCACGGAGCAGTCCTGCACTCTGAGTCCCCCAATCCCCCCACCTGGCATCCAGGATGGCCCCCCAGCACACCCAACCACCCTGCTGGTCACGGCCTTGTGGCCACATGGCTGCAGCAGTGCTGGATACCTGGGGATCCTGGGAAGCCTTTGGTGCCCGGCAAGCCGTGTAATCCACCGATGCCTCGGCCGCCCGGAAAACCTGTGTGGGTTGCACTCATGGTTATTTCATGCATCGGAGAGCAAAGAGAGAAACCCTTAAAATAATTCAGACATGTTTTTGCTTGCTATGACATAGTCATGCATCCAATTTATTTAAAACCCTGGGAAACAGAAGCAGTTCAGTGTATAGTCTGACATGTAAACGAATCACTTCTTTGTCACTTGAGAGAACCATTTAAATTAAAGATTGATTTCATAGCATCTTTCTACACTCGTTAGAGCCAGGAGGGAACTGGGGAGTGGTGTGTTTCGTCCCTCTTCCTGGCGCTTGAATCACTGTACATATTTGGTTTGTAAAAATTGCCTGGAACCAATAGCCTGGCATTAGTTCCATTCCCTCTGGATTCTCAAGGATAAACATTTCTAAAGTAGGACGCAGGACACAAGCGGCAATTCTTCCTGTGATGTGGACAGTGAGTGTGGAGGTGGGCGAGTCACCCTTCATTCTGGGCAACAGAGCAGCCAAGGGCCTATCCCTGAGCAGGGGCTTGTCTAGGTCAGGTCGCATAACCCTCCAAATCTCGCCACCGTCTCCCCCAGACCTCGCTCAGTGGGAAGCCAGGAAACCTGTGGCAGAACAGCCTGTGTCTGTCCCTTTGGTCCCTCCTTTGCATGGCCCGTGCACTGACTCAGGAGCAGGCAATTTTCATTCATCATTTTGGTGAGAGAAGAAGGTATTTGCAGACTAGCATGTCGGTCTTTTTCCTGATGGGCTTGGACAATGGCAGACCCTGTACTAGGTGAGTTTCGTGTGGACAGTGAACCACGCACACGCCTGCCTTTCATCTCACACAGTCTTACAGGAAACAGCTTGGAGAGAGGCCAAGCTGGCTAATGGGGCCTCTCCCCAGCTGGCAGATCTGCCTTTGAATCACTGTGTGCTTGTGTCTGCGCAGGGAGGGATGGTCTTACCTGGTAAGCCCGGACTACCTGGCCAGCCATAATCTCCTTTCTCGCCGGGTACTCCAACCCGGCCTGGCTCTCCCTGTGGCCCCCGCAGGCCTGTCTGTCCTGGAAAGCCTGGGGGACAAACACACCCATAAATCAGACACAGGAGCCTTGAAGACCTTGGGAGAGGCCTCCCGGCCCAGCCTCTAGCTCAGGTCCTGCGTGGATGGGGTATGTGTGGGGGTGCTTTCTGTGAAAAGACCAGCTTCCATTCAAGCCAGGAATGCGCGTGGTTTTGGACCCCACATTCAAGTTCAATGGGGTTATTTAGCTCAGCCTTGCCACAGAGAGAACAGCTTGTGTTTTCTTATTCTCATCCTATTATCAAAACAGAAGTTTGGAAAGAAGCCACAAAATAAGCCCTGGAGGATGAGCCCATCAGAGTCACAGCTCCTGGGCAAAAGCAAACAAATCAAAAGCAGAAGTAACCAAAAAACATGAAACTAGGGCACTGTTTGCTTTCCATCATTAACTTGGGATCCCCAAAAGTCTTTCTGCATATGCAAATTCATGAAAGGGATCCCGTAACAAGAACTTAGTCTGTGTTTATGGATAGACAGACCCTGGGTCACGCAAACCCTTCCATCAGTTCCCTGTGCCTCTCCCATAGCTGGGCTGGTTGTTTCCGTGTGTTTGGTCCTAAGGCAGAGCTAGGTGAATAGGTAACATGTAAGAGCCAGCCTCCTGGGGTGGGGTATGATCCTAGCAGACAAGGAGACAGGTGAAATTGACTTTGATCTGGGGTTTTGAAGATTTGCAGGCTCAGCCTCACTCAGCCCCATTGGCCGCTGCACCATGAAGTCATGCCTGAGGAAGGTGAGCGCTGCAGGAAGGCTGTGTGACTGCAAGAGATGTTACCTGTTTGCCCTTTAAGTCCAGGAGAGCCTTGGGCTCCTGTTATGCCTGTTATTCCGGGGAAGCCGATGTCACCCTCTGTTCCTTTTTCTCCAAAGAATCCCTTTCGACCTGTAATCACAGATTTTCTGCTTGGAACAAACCATAGACATTGCATCAAACTGGGGTTTAATGCTTGTAGGGTCCAAGGGGATGCCAGTTACAGGATGCTGCCACACCACATGGGTGCTTCTGTTGTGAACGGAGATCTAAACATATTTCTTCCTCAACTAATTTTTTTTTTTAATGTAATTCTTTCCTCTGAGCCTGTGGACAGCAGCCTCCAAGCTGGCACTTCAATGGCCATCATATTCTGGTATTCATACCTTCGTGTAGGTGTAGACTCCTTCCTACACTTAATAGGTCTGAACGGAGTGACCACCAGGATACTGATTAAACGATGGTATGTCACTTTAAAGCTAGGTCATAAAATTCATCATTGCGTTCACTTTGTTGCCTCTTTTGGATCACTTTCTCTGGAGGAAGCCAGCTGCCATGTTATGAGGAGGACACTCAAGCAACCCTGAGAGAGACCCATGTGTTAAGGAACTGAGGCCTTCCACCAAGAGCCGTGTGAAGGCACCATCTGGGAAGTGGATTCTCTAGCCCCAGTACAGCTTTCAGATGATGCAGCCCGGCCAATGTCATGACTGGAATCTCATGGGAGACCCTGAATTAGAACCACCCTGCTTCTGACCCTCAGAACATGTATGAGATAATACATGCTTATTGATGTTCTAAGCCACTGCATGTTGGGTACCTTGTTAAATATCAATAGATAACTAATCAGAGCCCTCATCAGAGTGGTTTTCAATGTGTGATGTGCCAGGGAGACCTGGGAAATTTATTAAACATGCAGATATTTGAGCTTTTCCCAGAGGTGACTTAGGTCTGGGGTAAGGCCTGGAATCTGCATTTTAATAAGTTCCTCAGGTGATTCTAAGGTGGTCATTAGGCAGATAGAGAAATGCTGCTTTCACATTAGTGACAATATTCTCTGTCAATGTTTCAGTTATTTCTGGTATGCAGGAAGATTTTGAAAACTTCAGGCCAACCTGAATTCCACACAATCACTTGATTCCAGTAACTTCTTAAATCTATGAGGCTATTACTTAGGTAAAACACTGTTAAAGGTTTTGTGGTCTTAAAAAAAAACCATCTAAGAATTTCTGCTTATTTTTTATTAACTTTTTTTACTAACCAGTGATTTCTTCTTTTATAAACTACTGCCATCATCACAACCAAAATCTAATGAGTCTAGTGTAGCCTGTCCCTTCACCCTCTGAATGACCAGGCCTGAGCCCAGGCTCCCCAAAGCCCCTCATGTCTGGGAGCTGATCTGACCCAGGGCTCCACACTCACTCCCTCTGCCATATTGGGCAAGCTCTGTGGCTGACCCTACTTGGGCACACCTCACTTGTCTTAGGGAGAATGGAACACTCCCAAGGAAGATTTATGTGACTGTCATCACCCCTCTGCCCTTGGGATAGTGCCCCTGGTGACAGGGGGCTCCATTACCTGGGCCCACAGTTTAACTAAAACCTAAACGTTCAAGGGTAACAACTGTAATTGTTGGAACAAAGTAGCTTCTTCACGACACATTTTTTAGTTGTGTAAATGAGGTCATCGTTAGTGACACATGGCAAATATAGTTTTACAGTTCTGCTTTTATACACCAAACTGCAAAGTAGTTATTTAGGACAAGAGATTCAGCCAGCAAAGAGCCAGAAGGCTCAGCAGCCCAGGGTACCCCTCTGACTGGGAGGAGACCCATCGGGAGGCCTAATTGTAGATCCACATGAGCCCTGAAAAGGTAGTACATAAGGCTGCCTATTCCTGCGTGATAGTCTGCTGGTCCTATGCTAGACTGAATCCCCCTTTCCATTCTGAAGCTCTTTCTAGATCAAGAACAAGCTCAGTATCCTTCCCATCGGCCAATCACATAGACAGACCCTTTCCCTCCAACCAGGGCCATCCCTAGAAGGACTCGGGGCTCCAAGCAGCTTAAGCCGTGTGGGGTCCCCCAAGATAAAATCCCCTGAAGAAGGCATCATCCTATTGCAAGTGTCTCGGGATAATATTACAGGCAGGAATTCTGACCTTCAACTTCAGGGATGCTCAGAGAAGGAGCAAGCTCCTGTGCCACATGAGGACCCCCAGGGCACACACTGGGGGCTGCCCCTTCTAGTTTTACTCAGGAGATGAGCCCGACTCCCACTGACCTTTCTTCTAGACCCTTCACTGTTTACAAGAAGCTCCAGTCTTTATATCATTTGCCTCACGCCCTATAACGTATCCCAGGAGCCCAGGTTCTGCTTCTTTTCCATGAGTTACGTTTTATGGGCCAAAATGTTGATTTTATGAGTGTTGATTCTGGCTATTTTCCCTTTCAGGAGAGCAAGAGAATGGTTTCCTGACTTTGTCTTTGAAGTTAATTAAAAATTCCAGTCTTTCTTGAACATCGGGCTTGAAGACTTTAAACCATTCCCTATAACACAATCCATAGCGCTTACCAAATGGTGATAGGTTTGACAAACCAGCTCATGGGTGACAACACAGACAAGGGGTCAGAGCTGTTGCCGAGATGAAGACGGAAAATGACTTAGGTACCTGGTATTCCGGTGATGCCCTGTTCCCCCTTCAGGCCTGGGCTTCCTGGTAAATCTATCGTGTCTCCAATATCACCTGTTGCATGCAAAAAAGATGGTTGAGAACAGGTCTTCCTATTGGGAGGTGGTTAGTTTTGCAACTTCGATTGTGCTCCATTATTAATAAGAATAATTTGTTTGGAAAATACTAACAGTATCTGCAAATCTGATATCATCACCCTGCCCCGAATGCTCTGGATTGTGGATGTCCTGTTTTCATTATTCAGGCAACACTTACCAAAATCACCCGTGGGGCCAAGCTCGCCGTAAAGACCTGCTGTCCCTGGAGCACCCTTGTCACCCTAGAGCAAAGTCAAATATGAAACCATCTTAGAAGGCTGTTCATGGAATAAGTTGCTAATTTTGAAGGTTATTGTATCCAACTATTCGGTATGCAAAAAAAACCAAAAACCAAAAAACAAAACCCAAAACAACCCCCAAGGTTTGTGATGTCATCGTTTTGTAGAAAGCGTCTAATGTTTTTTTCAGTGCAATATAGTTGGTGGTTTGCTTATCCCTTCTTATTAAACTATTAAGTAGTAAAAATGAAACAAGCTTGGCAGCTTTACTGAAATTAATAACATCATGATACAGATCATGTTCATGACAGTGGTGAGAATAACCACAGCTAATTGTATTCTTACCCACTGCCAGGCTCGCCACAGGCAAACATGTTGGGTCCCATCTCAAGAGCTTCATTTAATCCTCACAACAGCCCTATTAGGTAGGTACTATTATTTCTCTTTGACAGACGAGGGAATTGAGGCACAGAGTGGTTAAGCATTCTGCTCAAGGTCACTCAGCTGGCAGAATGGGGATATCGGTTTGGGCTGCCACATTCCCAAACCTGCTCTCTATATTACATGGTTGTGCACTTCCACCTGTGGAGAGAGTGAGACTTCCCCAAAACAATGCTGGTTGCTGATAATGAGACTGGGATGATGCCTGGGTTACTCTGTGACTCCAACGAGACTGGTTTTTGTCTCGGAGGTGCCTCTTCCTCACAGGGAGGGTGGGAGTTCTGGTCTGTCTTGCTCCCTCTGGCCTCCACTTTAGCATGAGCCTGGGACTTCAGAACTGCCCTTTCCTTGCATGGCTTACCTTGTGTCTCTAAATTATTAATAAAGTTCCATTTTGTGGGAGGATTGGGGCAGATGTGCCAGAGGCTACATCCTTGCTTAGATAATGATGTAGTGTTTCTTTCTTCAAGCTTGCTTTATTGAGGCATAACTAACATATGGTGCAGTTCACTCATGTGCCACCCAAAGACACAACATTCAGCACTCTAGAAAGTTCCTTTGTGTCTTTTCCTAGTCAATAATTCTGCCCAAGTTACCGCATTTCCCCGACAAAAAGACCTAACTGGAAAATAAGCCCTAGCATGATTTTTCAGGATGCTTGTAATATAAGCCCTACCCCTAACATAAACCCCAGTTAAGATCACCAGCCAGACATGACTGTTTGAATAAATGTAGATTTTTGTACATGAATAAATGAATAAATGTAGATTGTTGGAGCAAAAATATAAGACCTGGTCTTATTTTCAGGAAGACATGGTAACCTCTCTTTTGACTTGCCTCTATCAAATAGTCTTGTCATAAATATGGAATTGTATCATACGTGTTTCTGGTTTATTTCGTTCAACCTCAAGTCTGTGAGATTCGTTTGTGTTGTTGCATTTGTTAATAATTCTCTTTTTACTCCTGTGCATTAGTCCACTATCTGAAAGTATCATGCTTATTTATTTTTTCTCCTGCTGTTGGCCTTGGGGCTCTTTCCCAGTTTTGGGCTCTCATGAATAAAGTTGCTGGGAACATTGTCATGTGTTCTTCTGTAGACATATGCACCTTTTTTTTTTTTTAACATGACCTGACTAGCTGCATAGAAGACTGACTGGTTATCAGACCCTGCAGCTACAGATTTTTAGAGTGATGGAAGGAAAGCACCTGAAGAATTCTGAGGCCCTTGCGTACACCAGGGTGGGCTGGGCAGAAGGTCAAGCCAGGGTCTGCTGCTAAAGATTCACTACAGAGGGGCTAGAACTGCTGATCTGCCACAAATGCGCTGACCCCACTGGGAATGACAGAAATGAGTCAGTTGTGTGCTGAGGAATGTGGCCGTATAATACATATAAATGAAAGAGGATAAAAAGATAATGGCAGGAAATATGATCTATGCCATGCTACATATACTGTCTACACTGTACTCAACAAAACTGCAAGGTGGCTACTACCTGCATTTTACAGAAGAGGACATAGAGGTGGAGAGGTGGGAGCCCTTTCCTGGGTCAGGATGCACAACTGTTGCCATGACATTGTGCCTGGCCCATAGCAAGTGCTCATATGACATGTGTTGAGTGAAGAAATCAATAAATGAAAGGCCAGGATGTCCTCCATGCTATGATTCAGTAATGAGTTTGCAGTCCTGATATCACATATGTGCTCGAGTTTAGAGCCCGGATCTCTAGAAATTCAAGTTTTGTTCTCTCAAGGCCCACGTGAAAAAATGCAGACGTCATGCTTTATTTACAGAAGCCCATGAAAGAGTGTGGGTGACACTCCAATCACCACTGGTGTTGGCGCGAGCACAGCATTTCCTTATGCTGGCCCAGGACCCAGGACGACCTGGGGCTCTAAGTCGGAACCTGTGCCTTGATCACTCATGCCCCCTAAATGCTGGGTCACAATGCTCAGGTCACAAGCCAGGGGACAGGAGTTGACAAGCAGACATGGAGTCCAAGGAGCCCACTTACCCTACTTCCTACGAAACCTGGAAACCCTATTATTCCGGGGGAGCCGGGCACACCGGGGAATCCTGGCAAACCAGGCACGCCGGGAACTCCGATGTCTCCTTTGACTCCTTTGATGTAGCCGGGCCTCCCAGGTAACCCAGGGACGCCCGACAGTCCCGGGATCCCTGGCATTCCTGGAGTACCTGCAGGAAGATCCCGAGGGTAACACCCTGGTGAGGACAGGCACCCGCTCTCCCCAAGCTTTCCAGTTTGCTGTCCCGAGTGCTGCAAATATTAAGATGGGAAGGCGAGGCTACTCAGGCCTCAAAGAACCACCGTGAGCCCATGTGTGGAGATGTCAGGGTGTCAGAAGAGCTGGGACACAAAGAAGGCTGGCGTGGGTGCGGGGGTATGTCAGACTGAGAGAGACAGAGGTGGGCATGGGGCTGGGCGGGGAGAAATGGGACCCCCCCACCCCAGGCCTGGCAGCTCAGAGGTCAGACTGGGCCTGTCGGCGACGCCTTACCTTTTAAGCCCAGGTATCCCTTCAATCCCATAGGTCCTTCATCTCCTTTCTCCCCTTTAAAGTATTTCATTTCTGGCAGGATAATGGGAGGAGGTCCTGGGGGGCCGGGGTCCCCTCGGTTTCCTGGAAGGGAACAGAATGCAGTCATTTCCCTTGACCTCTGGACCAGGTGTAAGAACACAGGTGGAGAAAGCCTCTCAGCTGCTGCTGTCCTTCAAAACCCGAACCCTGAGAGGCTCTGAGCTGAGGGGCGGCACGGGTACCCTGACCTGGAAGCCTGCGTTCTGGGGTTGAGGCTCTCTGAGAGACACAATGCCGGTCTTCTGTCCCCTCCCACACTCCTTCTCTACCCTGGAGGTGTGAGCAGAGCACATCGGGATGGAAGGACCTGCTCCCCCCAACAGTGCTTCCAGGACAACGCAGGGATGAGTGTGAGAGGGTAACACAGAATTTATTTGGACTCTGATGAGACAGTGATCAAACTTGATCATAAACACCAAGTATCAAACGAGGAAGGACACCAGCTCAATCCTCTTCCTGCAGACACCAGGTGAGCCTCAGAATTTACAAAGGGTCAGTCAGGGCTGGGAGGTCACAGAAATAAGCCAGTGGGGTGTTGCAAGGGAACTTCTAAGGAGTCAATAAACTGGAGGTGGGGGAAGGGGACTCGGCTTAGGAGGCTGCGGGCTAGTCGGAGAACTGTGCTCTAAGGTTCAGGCTGAGAACGTTCCAGAATCTGTCTGTGTTCACTGGATGAAAGGGAAGCTGGTAAATGAGATTTGGCTGAATGGAAGTAATTTAGTTTCATTCATTGAACGCTTATTGAGTATTTAATGATGGGTTAGGTATTGAGAGGGACAAAACCATACATTGTTCCTGTCTTGGAGAGGTCACCATCCAGTGGAGGGACAGGCACCCCCAAGGTTAACTTCATTTCAAGAAGGCTGGAGGAAAATGTGTGGTGGAGCCAAAAAGAAAATGGTGTAGAATCCAAGTGTAATTTAACTTTAAATTTCATTTTAAAATATCTTTTTTGTTTGTTTGTTTTTTGCTCAATAGCCTATAAACCCTAAGTCAACATGAAGATTATTTGAAAATGTAAGCATGAGTTAGAAAGCTTGCAAAAAGTAGTGCCCTAGACGGCAATTTCTGATTTTTCTAAGAATTTGCAAACGTTATAGCTCTTTGGGGAGTAATTAAGTTTTTTTTTTAAATAGCATTTTGAGTTATAATTTACATATCATGCGATTCCCTCATTTAAAGAGAACAGTTCAGTGGTTTTTAGTGTATTCAGAGTTGTGCAACCATCACAATAACTTTAGAACATTTTCATCAGCCCAGAAAGAAACCCTGTGCCCATCAGCAGTCATTCCCTCAACTACGCCCTACCCCCAAGTCCTGGGAGATGACTAATCTAATTTTTTGTCTCTATAGATTTGCCTATTCTGCATATTTCATAGAAATGAAATCAGACAATATGTGGCATAAAGTTTTCAAGTTTTATCCACGTTGTCACATGTATCAGAACTTCATTCTTTTTGTATTGCTGAATAGTATTCCTTTACATGGACAGCCCACATTTTGTTTGCCCATAGTGGTTGTTTCTATTTTTGGCTATTATAAATCATGCTGCTATGAGCATTCGTGTAGAAGTTTCTGTGTGGACATGTGTTTCCAGTTCTCTTGGGTGTATACCTAGGAGTAGATTTGCTGGGTAACTCTCTCTTTAACTTTTTAAGAAACTGTCAAACTGTTTCCACACCGGGTTCCCATTTCTCCACATCCTCGCCAACACTTGTTACTAGTAATTATTGGGTCGTCAGGAAAGTCATGACGCATTTGTGCATTGAAAAACAGAGAAAAATACATCGTCACTTTCTGACGACCCAATAAGTTTTTAGAGACCATTGTGATACTTTCAGGACAAAGGCGTTTGAACAAAAGACATGAAAATGTGGTTTGTTGGTAACACACTGGCTGAACAAAAAGCCTCACACGTGGGGTCCTGAGATGCCTGCCTCATTTCTGTGGGTCACAATCTCTGTGGCACTGTGTTGTATCCTCCCAGCTAGAACACTGAGGCCCTTCCCTCCTTCAGAATTAAGCTTCCCTTGCTTTTCACCCGGCCTCACCTCCTTATGCTGACCATGGAATAATTGTGGTGGGATATGTTTCTTATGACATAGTTGGTTCTTAATGCCACAATTATTTTTGTTCTCAAAAGTTTCCATTGGTTAGGATTATTCCCTTATTATATTGTCAGTGTGATGAGGCAGGGATAAAGCCTCCCAGTTTTTGTTAATTTCTTTTTTGATAGCAATGTAATGCCCCCATGAAAGTGAGTCTCCACCCTGCCAGAAATACTTTAAGAGAGGTGGGCGTACCTTTCACACCTGGCTCACCAGCCAGACCCTTCAGCCCTGGAACTCCGAAAAATCCGGCCTCTCCTTTGTTTCCGGGAAACCCAGGTCTTCCTTTGTGCCCAAGCATGCCTTGGAAACCATCCATCCCTGGTGAACCTCTGCCCCCTGCAGAGGGAATGAGAAAAGTGCTGGGTTAGGCATGGATCTGCAGGGGATGTTTCAGTCTCACTTGTCCATGGCATCCCACAGAGCCACCAATGTGAGAAGATGCTAAGATTCTTAACCTAACGTAGGGATTTCTGGGACACCGTTTTCTAAGGGGCTTGCTTGCTGACCTACGTACAGACTGAGGGGTGCAGAGTTAGCCCATCTGCCGTCTGGCCTTTGGGGGTAAGACATAAGGCAAACACACAGCAGTCAGGCAGAAGGACACGAGGAAAACTGGAAGGTCACCTAGGTCCTGGGCCCATGGAGAAGAGGTTAGAAGGGGCACTAGAAGTTAACACACATTTACACGGCACGCATCATGGAAGTCTGTCAAAGAATGAATGGAAGATCAGACCACTGTGCCTCTAGCAATAATCAAGAGGCCAGAGGGCTCCACTGTTAGAAAACACCCCCTCATTTGTGCGCAAATAAGCCTATGTTGGTGACCAAGCATTTTCCTTTGTTTTCGTTTCTGTTCACAAACCAGCCTCTGGATCTGAATGCAGTCTCCTGAGGAAACCACCCCACAAATTTCCCCACACAGAAAATAAGTCCTGTTCCGCAGGCAGTTGCTCTTTCTTGGTTAATTAAAAAATTGACATTAACACCTAGCATAAGCAGCATTGGCTCACTTTCTCAGGGTCTGAAGATTCCTGGGGGAGAGGCGTTCTGAGGCTACAACCTGCAGGCACGTGGGGCTAGTCTATCGCTGTCCCAAGTCCAAGTTTAACATGCCCCACACCCCATAAGATAATACCCTGTCGTGTTACACTTTTACCTTTTGGTCCAGGGATACCAGGCATTCCGGCTATTCCTTTAAATCCAGGGTTTCCTGGATGACCTCTTTCACCCAACAAACCAGGGTCACCTCTATCACCAAAGACACCCTTCATGCCCACAGGGCCAGGGACACCTGTGTCACCTGGTTCCCCTCTGTCTCCAGGCAGACCTGTCAAAGAGAGGGGGAATGAAAATAAAACAGGATGAACAAACCACACACAGAGAAAATGCCTCTTAGGATACTTCTAAGGCATCAGTTACAAAAACTTTTCTGATAAGAAAAACTTCCTGGAAGGAAAATGGGAAACTATAACTATAAAGGTGAGTTTTAAAGGTGTGACCTGAACATGTAGAAAACCCTCAGGGCTGGTCTTTCTTTCTTTTCTTCCCTCCCCTTCCCTTCCCTTCCCCCTTCCCTCTCTCTCTTTCTGTAAAAATTTCACTGGGGAATTGGGGAAAGGGAACAGACAAGTTGCTGTCCTTTTGTTCTTCGGTCTAGTTGTGGAGGATGTCACTTCACTGGCCCATGTTGGTATTATCATTGCGCTCTTCCTGGGTGAGGCAATTGGTCGCCTGCCATTGGATGGCTGCCCAGCTCCAGGTTGAGCTGTTGTTCACCATTTTAGCTGTAGAGGGCGCAGCATCACTGGCTCTCATGTGGGATCCAAACCGCGGCCCTGCTGCTCAGAGCTGGCACTTCCAAGCCAACTCTTAACCAACGCGCCACATGGCCGGCCCAGGGCTGGCCTTTCTACAGGGGTTTTTCTTTGATAGCTGGAGGCTAACCTGTGGGACTCAAGCCAAACGTGATATCTAGAGGAATCTGACTCAGTTCACTCAAGCCCTCTTGCCTTTGGAACCCAAAGGAATGAAGCTATTAGCGGTGGAATGATCAGGTGGGTGCAGGGGGCATTACCAGCTCTAAGCTGGGATGTGATCCCTTTCCTGGGCTGCCCAGCCCTCATGGCCATGGCTGGCTCTCGCTTGAGGATTAAGTTCTAGGGGAGGTCCTGCACCTGCCGCCTTGGCTGTTCCTATCATTCCCTTCCCTTTCTCCTTGCTCCTACCTTGTTATCTCATTAGGGCTTCTGCAGCTGCCCAGCTCACTACTGTCCCCCGCCTACCACCACACAAGCTGCCAGCTTTTTTAATGCACCCCTCTGCTAAAATCCCCCAACGATCCCCTTGCCTAGGGGATCTAACTCCTTAGCTTAGCATTCAGTGCCTTCTAAACTTTGACCCAATCTCCCTCTCCAGATCACCAGTTCCCGACTCAGATTAAGCTCTCTCCCCTGGCTGGTTTGGGGGATCACAGTGCCAAAGCTTTCCTTGAGCATTCCCACCTCAGCTTGTGCTGTTCCTCTTGGGAAGGACCCAGTTCCTGTCCTTCCGATCTTCCATGCCTGGCTTGTCTCATCTCCTTCTCCCAAGACAGTTCCAGCCTGCCTAGCTCCACTGCCCCTCAGAAACTGGGAGCCTTGAGGTCTGGTCACTCAGCTGGCTTGCCCTGGCTGAACACAAGCCTTTTATGTGTGTAATTCTCTCCCCAGCTGAACTGTAGGCTCCTTTAGGGCAGGGCTTTTGGGTGGATCTTTACACGCCATGTGATGCTCTGTGTTTAGCTGATGTCCCATGGCTGAGAACAGGCAAGGCCCGTGAACACTGACACAGAAGTCCCCAAGCCTCCTACCCAGGGTGTCTCGTGCTGTAAAATGAGTGGGTAGCACAGTGCCCGGAGTATCTAGCCCCACTTGAGTTGAGCCCCTAGTTTTTGGATGCAGTTGAGGCCACTCACGGGGGGAAGCCCTGGGCCCATGTGTAGGGAAATGTCTGGCTTACATCTGGTCTTTGTGTGGCACAGCGGTTCCCTAATGCTGACCGGTTACGGTCCTAGACAAAGTCGTCACCTGGCTATGGCAAATGAGAGAACTAGCGTCGCCCTGGATGGTGCCTGATGCACATATGGGCCCTTGACTTCCTTTAGCACCACTGTGGCCTCTTCCCAGCCTCCTGCAGGGATGACCATGTGGGGACACAGGGAAAAGGTGGCCACCTACAAGCCAAGGAGAGAGGCCTCAGGAGCAACCAACTCTGCCTACACCTTGATGTCAGACTTCCAGCTTCCAGAACTGTGAGATAATACATTTCTGTTGCTTAAGCCACGCATGGTGGCTTAGAATCCCTGCAGCTTTTGAGAGGGGGTTCCTTGGAGCACAGTTTGAGAACTTTCTAGGAGGGTAGTACTTGTCCAGTTGTCCGTATGAGTGAGACCTTGGCCCCTTGATGAGAGGGTTGGTTCCTTACCTCCATAGCCTAAGGCACCTGGCAGCCCCAAGGGCCCCTCCTGGCCAGGAGCTCCGGGGAAGCCATGCTGGCCAGGTGGCCCGGGCAGCCCTGGCTGTCCTGAAGGTCCTGGGAAGCCTTGGTGACCCTTCAGGCCTGGCATTCCTGGCATCCCCTGGCTTCCTGTAGGAATTGAGACAAGAGCCATGAGGCCAACCCCATACAGTTCATTGCAAATAATATCTATCTCCTCGGACCTATTCTATAAAAATAGGATTTAATTTTTTCTGGATTGTAGGAACACTGGAAAATACAAAGAAGTATAAAGGACAAGATCAAAGTAACTCATGCTATCACCCAGAGATAAACATTAACATCTTGGCATATTTCCTTCTGGCTCTTTTTTCTATTCACATAAATATACCTAGAAATAGACATTTTACAGAACTGACATCGCACTATAAATAAAATTATAATCGAACTTTTTTTCACTTGACGTTATATTCTGATCATTTTGCTACATTTAAAATACTCTATGCTAATACCTCATCACATGGACACATTTAGTTCCCCCACCCTCACTTTTTTTTTGTTCTTACAAACAGTGCTGTGAGGAAGAGATTTTTTTGGTACGTAAGTCTATGTTGCTGGTCATTTCTTTAGGAAAGTGTCCTAGAAATGACTTAGTGGGTCAAAGCAAACATGAGCTTTAGGTTTTTTAATACACGCTGTCACACTGATCTCAGAACACCTGTCCCAATTTATTCTCCTCCCAGTGTTTTCTCAGCGTCAAGCACTGGCATTAAAGCACAGGCAGAAACCTGGCAAATACGACCGAGAAAAAAGTGGGTGTATCAGCTGTGTTACTTTGCACGTTTTTGATGATGAGTTACATTTCTTTCTCCTAGTTTTTGTTTTTTGATGAAATTTTTGTTCTTGCCTGACATTTTCCTGTGAAGATTTAATATTTTTCTTTTAGATTTTAGCATTCTTCATATATATTAACTAATTTTTCTTCATATCTATTATAAAGTTTACTCTACTGCCCCAATTTTCATTTTGTTTTTGACACGTAGAATATTAAGATTTGTGTGTAAATTTTATGCAAAGTTTTGGTGCTTTCTTTCCTCGATTTTATGTTTAGAATATACTGCCTTACCCAGTGGTCCGATAACTATGAGCATAATTTTCTCCTAGTTTTTTTTTTTTTTAACACTAACTCTCCGGACCTCCTTATATTTAGGCTTTTTCTCCTTTCTCCTTGGAATTTCAAGTTTTTTATATTTATCCAACTAATACCAGTAGAAGGGCCAACATCTTCCATTTGCATATTTCTCCAAAGACTTTCAGGGGACCTCACTCATTTATCTCACGACCATTCTATCAAGTGTGTAGGGCTCACCTGAGAGAAGGAGGCACACAAGAGTTGGGGGGACATTGAGGTGGGGGTGAGGCATTAATGAAAGGGACCAAGTCAGTCTTGGACCAACCCAGAATCCGACTCTCAAGTTTGTCTTCCAGTTATCCGATTTTGTCAACCACGCTGAGGAGGAAGGTCTGAAATGAGCAGGACGCGTATATTCTCATGTACTCCAGTTTTACTGTGGGAATTGAGGACACTTATGTTTTGGGTTCTATCTTTAGAGTAACAGTTCCAGGGAAAGTGTGATTGCTAGTGGCTGCTAATGGTCTCACAAGAGTAGACAGGTGGTGCTGTAGGTGGTGAAGCTTTACCAGGAAGTCAGGCTCCTGCCACAACGCTCCACAAGGACAGGCAAGTGCCCTTAAGGCTGGATGAACTGAGAGCGCTGAGCAAGCCGGTCACAGGAGCCGGGGCCGACAGGGTCAAGGGCGGTCTGAGCTCGAGTTTCTGGGTGCCTCCCTCATAGAAGTGGACAGGTCAGGCCACGAGTAAATGGCATGAAGTGACCTCTGCTACTTAAGTGGCTGCCTTAAAATATTCAGGCACGGGACATTTTGCTCTTTCAATTGTCTGCTGTGATGGGTGATTTGGAGCTCAGTGCTTTAAGTCAATTTGTATTTATAGAATATCTACTTAAAGAAAGAAACAACTACAAAAAAATCAGCTTCCCTCAGCTAAACAGCCTCTGATCCATGAACTTGGGTGATGACTTTATTCAGAAGTTCTGCTCAGAAACACGGCTGCATCAGGCGCCTTAGTAACTGCCCCACATGGCTAAGCAAGCCAGACGTGGTGTCTGCCTGCCGCTCCTGTCACGTGGGTGGACTGAATGGAAAACAGTTTCTCAAAACTTTGATGCTTCAGAAGTTAGAACTTTGATCAAACAAAATATTCTGCCTAAACAAGCGGGTCATTAAGGTGACATCAAACATGGAAAACCTGCACAGACTCTTAAACCTGCTGCCATTTTTGTTGTTGCTATGTTCAAACATTTTGAAATCTATGGGAAGTAATTTTGTTTTAAAAAATCTACCGGAAGTACCCTTCTGTTAAAGAGCTTGGGGCACTGCTGTTACAATGTCGCCAGTTCCTCAGTCTCTACAGAGAGCCGCCAAGTCACACATGCTCCATAACTGACCAGGAGGTAGTGAAGTTGGCAAGGGCAGACCCCAGACATCCTGGCATCCGGTCCCCACTGCTTGGTGATTTTACCCAATGGCCCATGTACCCGGCTGGCCTTGGACACAGTGGTGTGTGTAGATGTGTGTGAGCACACACGCAAGAGTGTGAGTGTGAGAAGGTGAGTGTGAGTGTGCGGGTGTGTTTGTGAGTAAGAGTGTGGGTGTGTACATCTCAGCATGTGTAAGAGAGATCATGGGAGCATGTGTAAGTGTGTGAGTGGGTGGGCACACATGTGTGGGTCTCTGTGTGCATGTATGTGAGTGTGTGGTTGTGTGTACATGAGTAGACATGGGCATGTGTGCATGCATGTATGAATGTGTGTGGGAGTGTGTACAAGCATGTGTGTGGGTGTATGAGCATGTGTGTGGGTATGTGCATATGAGCCTGTGTATATGAACATGTGTTTGAATGTGTGGGTGTACGAGCGTGTGTGAACACATGTGAGCATGTGTGTGCACATGCATGAATGAGTGTGAGTGTGTGCATGCATGCACTTCAGTCGTCTCAGGCTCTTCCATTCTTTGGGCCTTGCCCCAGTGGGCCTCTCGGTGAACACTGGCATCTACTCTGGGGGTTCTCCCGGTCAGTTGATAGTGGAGGCACTGATCAGTATCATCATGAAAACTGATGTGCCCTGTGTCCCACTTCCTAGACCTGTTGGGAACTGACACGCTCATCTGCAAACCAATTCTGTCTCCTGAACTTGGTGAGTACACCTGCCCATCGAGAATCAGGCTTTCTCCCCCTAGTGACTTCGTGTAAAAGATGCCCTACAAGTCTGATGGCAGTCAAGGGAGAGGACATCTGCTTCCGGCACCACATAGGAAGCCACCTTCTGACAATGCTGTCAACAGACAAATGGTTGATATATAAAGTCACGGTGCATCCTGCATCTTCATATTTGATTGGGAACATCAAATAGCAGATTTTGATGGTCTGGTGGTCTCTAGCACCTGGTGTACTGAAAGTGAACGTCTGCTCTGTAGTGACACAATCTTTTATTTAAGCCTCTGTTGGGTGCAACTGATCTCACAGATTCATTGCACACAAATTTTCAAATATCTAACAGTTAACTTAAGTATTGTGACTCATCACTTCCGTGTCTTCCCTCTCTACTGTAACCTATCGCCAGTTGTGTTTGTGACTTAGTAAAGACGTATTTCACAGCGGCATTTTTGCATGCAATGAATCTGTGAGATCAGTTGTGCCTGATGGAGGGTTAAGTGAAGTGTTTAGGGTTCTCAGTGCCAATTTTGCATAAATTGATACGTAAAGCCATCTGATACCTTGTTCATTCATTAAACCATGGGCGCTCTTTCTACTTTGCTAGACATATATAGATGATATTGTGAACAACATTAATGAATTTTTAAACCAATTAATTTTACACATGAACTTGCATTTCAGACCACTTCTATGTTCTTCGTCTACCTCTCACTGAGCATGGCCAAGTTCCTTCACACATACTGCACACATTCTGCCGAAGGCACCAGGAAGTGCCCCCATGTTGATTCCCACCCAACTTGGGAACAGAGTGTATCAGCTTGTCTGTACTTATAAAAGGTCTCAAATGGCCATTCTTTTCTGGCTACAGAAGATGAGTATTGTCCTAAAAACATTCTAAAGGAACATTGGAACTAAGTGGGGAAAAGAAAAAAGCAAGACTCCTACTATACAATCCTATCGCTTCTTACAAAATGCCCCAGGAGGGATGTTGGACCCACCTCTGGGAGCCATGGTGCTCCCCTCCTGACACGGTGACTTACCCCTGAATCCAGGTGGGCCTCTGTCTCCTGGAAGACCTTTCAGCCCGGGGTGTCCAGGCAATCCAGCATCTCCCCGGGGACCCGGCTGGGCTCCCAGGACTTCACCAGGAAGGCCCCTGTCCCCTGGAAGCCCGACTGGCCCTGGTGGGCCACTGGAACCTGGGAACCCATCTGGGCCAGGCAGGCCCACAGCTCCTTTGGATCCTCGGGGTCCCACGAACCCTAAAAGGAAACATGGGTCATCTCCAAAACTGCAGGTCAGCACTGTGACATTCTAAGAGAGGTATCAGAAAGAGGCTGGAGACAGCAAGGGTTTGCAAATTCCCTCCATGGCAATAAATCCCTGGTGATCAGTAAGTTTGGAAATGCTCTGAAGGGGAATTGATAGCCCTTTGTCATGGTGACTTTCAATTGCCCATATTTGGATGGAGGGAGGGTGGCTGTCATGTGCTGGGCAGTTGTGCCTTTCCTTACCACAGGCTCAGATGGTGTCCTCACCACTTCTACTTTCAGTACCTTCACCCCTCGTGTGACCTCAGACTGAACTGAGGGAACAGGCAGTCATGTGTTTTGTTTGGAAAAGAAGCTTTCTGAGGTCAGTACTGCCTCAGCTGTGGTGTGCCGGAAATCTGTCTGTCCTTTCTGTATGGCATAACTGACAAAAGAGACCCCTTGCCCAGGGCCCCAGGCCTTCCCTAGGGCAGGAAAGCTTTCAATAGCTGGAGCTGGAAGAGGGGTTGATTGGTTTGCCTGTGTTTGGAACAGAGAACAGGATCTGGATGTAATCTGAGAATTAGTTAGCTGGACCCTATTTCAGAATTTTAATGCTGTAATAAAGAAGAGATATGGCTCTCATGGAAACGTTAAAAACTGCGTACTTAAATTTGTAGGTAAGTGCGCATATGTGGGTCTTATTTCTAGAATAGATTCGCACGGTTGTTAGTCTTTGAAGTTGGGCATTTTATTTTGTTCTGTGCACTGTGATGGAAGTATGTTACATTTCATTATCATAAAAAATGACATGTATTTCAAAAATTGAATAGATCAATTCCTCCTTTACACCTTCCCTCTGGTCTATCCAATGTCCCTGTTCACTTAAGGGCTTACATTTCAGTAAGGAACAGGCTTTCTACACCTGTTGTCAGCTTCTCGAATCCCCTAATAACGGCCACTTTCCACTCATTTTCCACAACAGGAGAGTTCACGTCCACTTGTCTCAGATTGATAATTATGATTACTAGGTACCCTTCATATTCAAGGCAAGAGGGTATTAATGAGTTATTTTCCTTCTTTCAAAAAAATTTACCCTTAACTTTAGTATATGTGGTATCAACCAAATGAGGGTGCTATGACTTCTAACCATTTAGGTGCTCCCACAGGGCAACAAAATGATACCATCTGATCCTCTGGTGTGGCGGCATAAAAACGTTCCTGTGCTTCTCTCCAATGCAGGGCTGTTACCAACGTCTTGACAAAAGACACAGGGAGCATGCTTCCTACTTGAGCAAATCATGGCAAGGTGCATAGTATGAAAGGCAACAGGCTAAAGGTTTGTAACAATGTCGATGGGACAGAGCACTGAATCCAGGAAGAAAATCTATCAGGGACGATGCAAAGTTCTGCATTTAGTATTAAATCACTTGTCTGAGTGTAGGACATGGGAGAGGTAAAATTCAATTACTCTTTGCTGAAAATACCAGGGGTGCTAAGAAAATGTATCCAAGTGGAAATTTTGGTCAACGTTGCTCAAGCAGTAATTCTCTGTAAGCAGAAGTGTCTGGATGCTGATGGTAATTGCAGAAGTCAAACGTAACTGGTATTCATCTTTTGTTATCGGTATACATTGAGTATTACAATTTTAATAGTATTTTCCTTTCTTAACATGTATATACATTTTTTGGGCACCTTTTGTATTTGCTAAGGGTCTAAATCTAAGGACACAATAGTCCCACTGTTCTGTGTGATATTCCAGACACGCGGAACATTTATTCAGATCCTGGAGCCCAGTTTGAAAGGAATGCTGACACGCCGGAGAGTAGTCATAGAAGGAGGGTCAGAATTCGGAACGCATGAAAATTATGTCACAAAAAGAAAGTCTGCATTCCTGGGCTCAGTTCTGCCCATTCTTGAGATGTCTATGGGGAGATATGGCTACTCTCTCCCGATGTGTGTGAGGGGTGGTTATGAAGTAGAACCAGTGGCTTAAGAAGCAGCCAATGAAGAACTTACTGGGAGGCAGATTTCATTCCAACTGAGGAAGAAATTTCTAGCAATGAGAGTTTCAATGTTTCACAGGTGCTGGATGACAAGAGTGGTTTCAGTAGATGTTAGAAGAACACCTGACCAGAATCCTGAGGGAGGGTGTTTGGCATTGGGTGGCCTTAGTGGTTTCTGCAGTTCTGTTTGAATAACACAATTCTAAAATGTGTGGGCCTCTGCACACCAAGTAACACAGTCATGCTCACTCCTGCCATTTGAGCCATAACTACAGAGGGACACCTGTGTTTGGGGACACTGGATCATATCATAGAGTATGCTGACACCCAAGCAGGTACTCCCTACTTCTTACCACAATTCACTACCAGAAACACATTCATTTCCCTCCATATTTAGGTAAAAGGCTTTAGCTCTTTTAGCAACTAGCTGGCTTCCATAATTCTTTGTTGTGTCAACTGTAGATGGAATGGTTCGAACTGTTTGCTCAGACAAGCTGCAAACTTTAGAGTGAGCAGGTAAAGCTCTGAAAAGCAAAAGCATAGATGGTCTTTGTGTGGTGTTTGGTGAGTGAGCAGCAGATTGGGAATGGATGACAAGAGGGCTGTCTATGCCTTTAATGATCATCACAGAGGAGGATCATACCATGTTGCCCTTAGAATGTTTAATATCAACCAGAGGGAAATCTGTCTTTTTTTCCTGCAATATCTGTATTATCTTCCACAAAACTCCAGTATAACATTCGTGATAAGAAATCCAAGAATTTTAATCTCCCAAGAACACCAAAAGTTATCAAGAATTTGTTGACACAGTTTCTAAATGTAAAAGACAACTGAGCAGAGGCACCCCGACCAGGCACTCACAGTCACGTCCTACTCTAAGGGGCTGAGTGGGGATCTGACCCTGACTTACCTGGGGGTCCTGGGAACCCTTCACGACCTGGATCTCCTGGGAGACCCTTGAGTCCTGGTGGTCCATCAGCTCCTGATAATCCTGGCATCCCTCTTTGGCCTTTGGCACCTAAACAACCCAAAGAAATCATGACATATGTCAGAGCCCCAGGAGGAAACAGCAGTAGCTGAATGGGAGGTGATCGAGTTGGACACCTGACTTAATATGGTCTCTTATGAAACTGGGAATGATGAGGCTGGGGGATTTCAACCCTAAAACAGCACCTCTGATGGCTGCACATACTCCATTGCAGACCCCATAGATACTGGCAACAGGTTCCACCATCCAGTGGACGCCACCAGCTTGCCCGCCCAGAATCCCAAGCTGGGCTGACTGGTGGAGGTCTTTCCTGCTGAAGTCTGTAAAGACTGGAAGAGGTGACCGTTTCCTTAAATGTGCACACACCAACACAGGGACACAGGGATCATGAAGAACGGGGAACCATGACACCACCAAAGAAAGTTTATAAAGCTCCAGTCACCAACCCTAGAGAAATGGAGATCTAAAAAATGCTTGACAAAGAATTCAAAATAATTGTCCTAAATAAGCTCAGGTAATGCAAGAGAACACAGACAGACAATAAATGAAATCGGGAAAATAAACATGAACACGAGAAATTCTACAAAGACATAGATGCCATAAACAAACAAACAAAGAAAAATACTGGAGCTGAAGGTTATAATGAGTGAACTAAAACAGCACCCCTGGGCTTATAGAATGATTTCTTGTGTTTAAAAATCATGCTTAAGGACTCAAGCTACAAGGATAATGCTCAATATTAAGGTTCCGCAGTGTACTAAGTAAGGGCTTAGAATGCTGGGTATGAAATCTTGGCTCTACCTCTTCTCTCTCTGTGGCCTTGGGCAAGTTTCTGAATCAATCTGGACCTCAGTGTCTTCATCTGCAAAATGGGGAAATGATAATACCCACTTCACGGGGTATTGTAAGGACTAAATGAGATACTCTTATCAAATATCTGAGCAGTGCTTATACAGTGGGTGAACTCCACAAATGTTCTTACAATCAGAAGCCTGCAGTCCCTCACCAATGTCATAAAGCTGAACTTACATGCTTTTTTATCCGTGTTCCCAGGTTTTTCTCGGGAAGAGGATGTTGTGTGGTACCGACCCGCTCTTCCCTCCTCAGAAAGTGTGTATCCGGATGGCAGAAGTGAGAGAGAAGGGTCAGACAGGAAGCATGCTAGGGGCTCTCAGCCAAGGGAGCCCTGTTCAGGAAATGAAACTAACCAGCCATGGCAGGACAATGGCCTGGAGCCTCAGACACCCAGACCCAGACATCTGAGCCCTTTGCAGTGAGCAGGCCTCAGATTACATCTCCGGAGTGGGTGTGTGTCACATGTGTGGGCCTCTGGTCTGCTTTGACCACAGAGACTTTATCTGTCTGACAGGTTCTTGCATGAAGCAAGTTTGCAAACTGACACAAAACACATGTTCCTAGACACAGGGATTCTTGGGAAAAATTCTCCAGTTGGTCTCTTGTCTCCAGCACGTCCAGGGTCAGCACCAGGAGATGCAAGATTGAAAGCTCCACAGACTTGCTTGAGCTTAGTAGATCCTTTATCCCGATTCCCAGGAAGAGCCTGAGAGAGTCTCAGAGGGGCTGTCAGTATATGAAGAGGAGGAACCAGAGCGCCAGAAGGCCGACACCGCCCCCTGATTCACTGAAGCCTTGACTGCAGGAGCACAAGAAAGATCAGGAAAGGCCTACACCTGCAGGGCCCCTGCCCTGCTCCCTGGGGAGCTGAGAGGAACTGCCAGTCATCACACGGGCAGCGAGGGCAGGCCTGCTCCGCGGCTGTGGGGGTCCACTTCCTGAGTGGTTGAGGGGTTCTCAGCCTCTGGCCTGTGGCCCCTCTGACACCCATTTCCACTCACTCTCGACCCTCCTGGAGCTTTGGAAAAAACCCTGATGTTGGGAGGGTGATTATATCAGTATTTCTCTGAGGACCACATGCTGAGTAGCAAGGTGCTAGAAGGCTGCCGGAATCTCCTGCTGTATCAGTCTACACCTTATCACAATTCATTAAACCTTCCCCATTGCATTCTGCAAACATTTATAATACCTTAAGCATTTTAAACAAGAACTCCCTGGAAAGTTTCCTGTAGCTTTCACCCACAGCCAATCTATCCAGACTTGAAAAATGTTGACTTGTATTACTTGTAATGAATGACTCAGACTAAAAAGAAAGTAAAACTTTAGACCAGCTAAATGCAATAACTCCTGATCTACTGGGTAGCTCGGATCTGAACCTTTTCATACAGGAAGCAAACCTGAGGCATTTTTTTCCTGGTGTCTCTGTGCCTGCCTGGTTTCAGACTCAAAGATTCCCTTCACCTCAGGCTCTCAGAAACCAAAGCCAGCACACCTGTTGCTGGCAGCCAGGTGCTTCAGGGATCATCGTAATTCTCTGTAAGTATTAGAACAGCAGCTTCCTCTCTGTAGCCTGCGAGGTAGGCGGGCAGGGGCGTGGGCAGGCAAAGCACTGGGTGGAGAGGTGTATTAGTACAGTAAGGATTCCAGCCTCTCTGGGCTACTGTCCCTTTAGAAATGTCCCAGCAGGCCATTAGGTTGGGCTGCTGCCCTGCCATCATGTAGAAGGGGCCAATCCAGCACCCTGGAGTTTTCAATATTTTTCTATATGGGGGCAGAAAGAGGTTGAGAGTGTCTCTCGTAAGCACTTCCCTTGGGCTGGGGATAAGGAGGAGGGCTGTGCTGGGCGCCCAACCAGCTTGCACTGTGGGACCCCATTCCCTGAGGGTCTCATAGCAAGGCTGGCCGTGGGGAAACACAAGGTGTGGGAACCCAAGCTTCACCCCTACTCACAGTCCAAATAAATGCATAGATTATCCCAAATTTCCCATTGATAGCATGACCCTCTTAGACCATTATCTCCCCAGTGTAATTAAATAATTTTAAACAGAACCTTGTACTTGACTGGGGGAGATGAGGAGGGAACAGTCAGTATTAGTCAGTGCCAAAGGATACTCTCTTACACAAGACTGGACTTCTCTAAGATTATTACTCTGATGCTAAAACGGGTTTGGTCAAACTCAGACGTATAGAAATATATTTGTCTAGAATTCCAATATACTAGTGAAACTGTAATTATGAATGTAATTGATAAACAGAAGAAAAGGGCTCTGCACTGATGAAGTCCTACATGAATATAAAGTTCAACACTGAGATAAAACAAAAGACAGATCCATTTTTCAAGCTGTTCTGAAGTGAAGATGTGTTAGATGAGTTCAACTCATAAGTCAGTTTCTGAACAGAAACCCCAGTCGGGCCTAAGAGAAAATGTAACTGAAATTGAGAAGAGGGCATGAAATACTGTCTGTCGCCTCTGAACTCTATTGCTACTTCAGAATCACAGGCTGTGTCACTCTCACGAGACTCATATGTGCTGGAAGCCCTGAAGATCATTTTTGGCCAGTCCACATTCACATTCTGGACTAGGTATTCGTCTATATCAGAAATGTTGACTCTGTGATCTCATTAGGATCTCATGAGCTCATTAACCTACGATCTTATTAAGCTTTGTGTTGTCAAAACATGTTCAAACTCCTTTCCCCTCACACCCAATTCATGTACATTTTGGATCCTGCTTCTACTTAGCTGCTGTTGAAAACTGTCCCACTGGCTTAGCACTTTACAGTTTACATGGGACCTCACCCACAGCTTATCATGGGCAGTGCTGAGGGCATCGTTTGCAAAGCAGGAAGGGTCTGGAACACCTGTTTTATTTCGTTTATCCAGGCGAGCAGGCTAAGTTCCAGCAGCAATGAGAGACCCCAGGCCCCACTGCTGATTAGTGGAAGAACTGGACTCCAGTTCCGGCAGGCTTTTGGACGCATGCCTCATGCTCTCAACACTGAATTATCTGAGCGACTTCCTCAGTGGGTGCTCTGGGTGCTTTCCACAGAGGAAAAGAGAATTTAGAAGGTTGAACTCTTATTAATTGCTGCAGTCTAAGAACTCGCCTGTCCTAGGTTGACAGACACAGACATCTGGGCATTACCAAGCAGCTGTGGTCGCCCAGGCCCATCTGTTATCTCTGAAACGCCCTGCCACGAGTGGGTGCACGGAAAGCCACCCACTGGGTCCCGTTACGGAGAACCCTTACTTATTTCATGTGGGTTCTTTAGTTGGGGTGATTGGTTTGTGCCAGCAGACAAAAGCCCAGTTCCTTCAGATTATAGACAAATTCCTAGCCCTGTTCATTTCTGTTTTCTTCTCAGTCAAAACCCCAAAGAAACAATCCTCTCCCATAGGTGCTTCCCATATATCCCCAGACACAAGGGGATAAAAGAAAAATACACAGAGATAAGCTTCCTTTCCAGTCTGGAAGAGGCACTTCAATCTCTGCCACTCGTCGGATGCCCACCAACATTCGTGTCATGGTGGAGGCTGAGTCCTGTGTAGCAGGAATCTTTTCCTTTAGCCTGGGGTTCACTAGGTGTCAATTACTGCACACATCTTCTATATTGATGAGTAAAATTCTGCTTCCTATAGAAGCTACCAGTTTGTAGTAGAGTGCCAAGATGGCAGAACATGGCGTCATCCAGGGATGGAGGGGAACACAGTGGGCAGAGGAAAGATGTACAAAGAGGCAAAAGAAAAATGAAGAAGATGCAAAGAGGAAGGCTGGAAGCGCTCTCCAGTTTACCGGAGCACATTACCTCTGGGGCCTGGGGTTCCTGGCTGGCCTGGCAGTCCCTTGGGCCCTCCAACACAACCTGGGAAGAAAGGAAAAAATGATGAGCTGAAGCAATCTTTAATGCCGAGTTTCATGGCTTTGGGATATTGCCAAGGTCAAGAGCACCGGCCATGAAAACTGGCTATCATTTTATGATCGCAGTAATTTAATGAGTTCATTAATTTTGACTTTGAAGTAAATGAAAAGTTTGATTTCCTTGTGTAATGGAATTAGAATATTAGTGTAAAATGCAAATAAAGTAAGTCTGGTCAAATAAAAACAGGCACTGCGCTGGCAAGGGTCCATCCCTTCATTCAGGGAAACACCTCAGCACAACTGAGCTAATCTGGACCCTCCCCAGTGAGTCAGTGTGAATGTCTTTTTTGGTCTGGATATGTCCACCAGTGGATGAAGACAGTTTGTGATTTCAGAAGGAATTCTCTGACTTCTCCTTTGTGACTTTGAATACTTTCAGAATTAACCATAGCAATTAGCTTCTTTGAACCATGCAAAATAAACCTGGGTGGCAACTACTTCCGGGTGGTGTGGCCAGGGCAGTGACATTAAGCAGGGGTATTTTGCTGTCTGGCCTTTGTTTGAAATAGACCCCTGTAGGCACATCAGTTATTTGAGATGTCCTTCATCTATGTGCCTGGGATTTGCTGGGCTCCTGTTTCGGCCTGATCTAATGGCCAAAGTCTGAAGAGGCTTTGGCCTTCTCTGCCACACTAGGGATCCAGGAGGTGCTAGCCCAGTCCATAAAAATAAAGGAACCTGGACGTCTTTGCGGGGTGGTGGGTGGGGAGGCTGGCCTCCAACCCACAGAGCCTCACACAAAGGTGCCTTCCCACCTCTGTGTGATTGGCCAGCTCTCTGAAAGTTTAAGGGTTTGCCCTTCCTGGTCCACCAGCTTGCCCTGAGTGCGGGTCCATGCCTACACCTCATGTGGGGGACCCACAGATTCTGATGTTACTTCTCCAACCCCAACCTTTATCTTGAGAATTACATCCAAACTTTCAACTCCTATCCAAATGTTTTACTAGCACCTTAAACTCTGTGCAAAACTCGTCCTCTGTGCTTCTCTCTTCAAAATCCTGACCGAGGTTGGCATTCCCTTGGTAGCTTGAACTCTACTCTCTCCCTGGCTTCCCACTGGGGTTTCTAAGTCTCCCCTGGTTGGAGACTTTGCTCTCCAATGCCGGCCAGGTCAACCTCCAGAGAGTCTCCCTCTCTTTCCCACCACTAAACCTCGGTTCAGGGTCATCTCCAGATCCTCTTTTCATCTCTTAGCCCTTGTTCCTTCTAGCATTCATTTATCACTAGGCCAAATTCTTCTCTTCCAGCATCTACCTGGACTGGCCTTCACCCTCTACAATGAGCAAACAATTCAGTTTTCTTTTATATACCCATAGGCAGAGAGATTAATATCTGCATATATGTTAGGTGTGACAATATTTATCTGTTGAGTTCTTGCCCACGTTGTAAATTGATGCTTTCTATTGATAGGAAGACTTGGTAACACCATGTGTTTTTTTTTTTTTTTTTTTTTAGCTGAGCCATCCTGCCACCTGTTGGCAGCTCAGTGGCAGCTCAGCTCGGGCCAGACTCGAACCACTGTTGCTCAGAGCTCAAACTTTTGAGCGAGCTCTTAACCAACTGAGCCACTCAGCTGGCCCTAACACCTAAGTGTTTTTATACTTGCCTTTCCTTTGATTCTAAGCTGAATCAGATAGGATGTCAGCTCCCAGTTTTGCACATGTTTGTATTTCTTATTGCAGCTCCATGCTCGCAGCAGGAGCTCACAGTGGTTGTTGATGAATTACATGTTTTATACCAAAAGTTTTAAAGAGTCTACAGCCACCTGATCTTCATGACAGTACCTGGCTGGATGACGTCCTGTCCATCACCTCCAATGGGCCTTTTCACACCTGTATCACAATCTGGGAGCAAGACATGATGACAGTATGAGGCAATTTTGGAACAACTGAAAGTGATTGACTTATCTATGGGTGTGTGTGTGTGTGGTGGTGATGGTGGTGATGGTGGCGGTGGTGGTCGGAAGGCTGGGGGATGGGCAGAAACTCCAAAGGCCCATTTCTGAGCTTTTGTGCAGAGCCTCCATGACTTCAGCTCTAGAGGGAGGGGACCCATATTTCAGCTACTGAGAAGAAGCTGGTGGTGAGTTTAGAAGCACTGTGGTTGGGTGTCATTTGTATGTGCTGAAAACTGATGGTGCAATACAGCATTCTTATGTGACACCACTGGAGAATTTATACAAAATTCCCAAAAAATAATAGTGGGTGGGTGTTTAAACACTAACAGTGTCCCATGACTTTGAAAGATGAAAGGGAAGATCCCTCCTACCTATTTGTCCTGGAATGCCTGGGGGGCCAGGAGGACCGGGGAAGCCTGGTGATCCAGGTATTCCAGCATCTCCGGGGAAACCACGCTCGCCTTTGGGGCCTGGCAGACCCAATCCTGGGGGGCCCCTTTCTCCTGGAATGCCTTTAGTGCCAGGTGGTCCTTGGTAACCTGCGTCCCCTGGAGGCCCTTTGATGCCGTCACCCTATGAGAAAATTCAGTTTATCTCTTAAGAGATATGTAAACCTCAAAGATAGTCATATTCCCAGTTCCAGTCGCTCATTTTCCTTAGTTCCATGCTATGGATACAGAGCAGAAAGACAGCAGAGATTAATAAGAACCTACAGTCATGATCTAATGAAGCCACAGAAATAAAGGATAGATTTTATACCAACCATCAGCAACACAACAGAAGGTAGTTCTGAGAGGCATATAGATCTATGTAAGTATTAATTTTTCTCTTTTCCAAGCCACTAGCACCTGTGCATCGATTCAGACCTTTATTCACAGGAAGAATTCTGTATGAGAACAGTTAGGCAAAGGCTTGCATAAATGGGAGTAGGAACACATCATTTTTATTGTTATGATTTAGCATTTGTGACATAGCTACTATTCACAAAGGCTAATGTGTTGCTAAAGAAAAGGAAGTCTTTAATTTGGACAAGAAATAAAGAGCATGTGCTCATGAGAAATACAGAGAGATGATAGGATCAGAAAAGCAGGAAGCTGGGAGGTAGGTACACAGCAATGCCAGGTCCTATTAATGAAACTACTGAACAGGTGTGGAAAACTGGGGTGGGCAATGGAGCGATAAAAGGAGGGGGCCGTGAGAGCTGGCGACTTAGAAGGAATGATGTCTGCGGAGTCACAGACACACCACGGCCTGACTTTGTGCCCACAATGTCTAAACATGTTGGTATGGTACACCAGCCATGCAATTAAGTCCCAGCCCATCCGCTCAAGCTGTGAATGAGACCAGGATATTCCAATGGCAAGGAGGCAGCAGCTTCTAGGAAATGAAACACCGCTGTCCACTGAGGTTACCTCTCTCCTTCATGTCCAAAGGCATGAGGACTAGTGGGGTGATCAAGGGTCAAGCTCTCCCTGGATTTGTATGGTCCTGATTCAACCACACAGCCTCCTGTATTTTGGCTTCTTTAAGACAGGCTTAATGATAAGGACAGGACTCTACATTTCCCAGAATGCTGCAGAAATCAAATGACAGGCACACCAAACTTAGTGGACACTGATGACAGCCACTGGGGAGCGTTTTGGAGAGTGAGTGCTCCCTGAGGTTTCTCAAGGCAGATGTTCCCGTTCTAGCTCGGAAATTCCTGTAAGCAAGGAAAAAGCATGCATACTGACAAACGCCACCATGTGGGACTCAGAAGTGGTGGATTTGAGTGCTGGCTCTTAGTAACAGAGAGAGAAAAGCAGTCCCTGCCCGCTGGGAGCTGGCTTGAGGGCTGTAGGCCAGTCCTATGTGTTGCCGAGGCTGCCCGCCCTCATAGCCATGCCAAGTGTGCTACTGAACCTCAATAAGTTTACAAACCACATCAGACAAGGTCACTGTGATGAATCAAGACACACTCATATACACATGTGCATGTCACACACAGAGAGATCATACGCATGCACACACACACACAACACAACACCACACACACACACAAAGTCCACTTCATAATCATATTTGAACAGGCAAAAACAGGAACATTGTTCAAACAACCAATATGATCCACTGTCCTCTTCACCAATTGTATCTCTGGCCTCACTGTTTTCCCCCTCTTACTTACAGATAAGAGTTATTATGATACCTGATCATAGAATTATCTGTGCTTTTGGAAGCATCCTATCCAGGCAAAGCCTCACTTCCTGACCTTCCCCAAAGCTACTGACACACCTGAAATTCTGTGATCACAGACCAGGACCCAGACTCAGTGCTGACAACTCATGTCACCATGTCACCTCTCATCATTTCCTTATCAGCCAAACGAGTGGTCTCCACGCTTTCATCTCAGACAGCCACTGTTCAAGGTGACTGCGTGGTAGTGCAACTGTGGTACACCAGTTCCTCTTGAAAACGATTTTCAAAGTTAGAACTAAAAAAGCAGTACTAGGTTACTAATAATCCAGGTGTTTTCAAAGAGCCCAAGAAAACTGCACTAAAAAGTAGTGTTATAATAGAAATGACCCACGTTACAGAAGGAGAAAGCCTCGGTTTTCGAATGAGGCAAATAAGGTGGCAAAGAGAATTTAGGTGTGAAGCTCTGAGGAGAAGGAAGGGAGTTGTGGGTTGAATTGCGTCCCCCCAAGATGCTTCTGTCATTTAAGGTGCTTGATTTGTGGCTTTCTTAGGGCAGCCTCAGGAAACTATTCAAGGAGCTAAGGGGACGAAAATAGAGCCTAGAACATGAAGAGGAGAGAAATCACATCGCAGAATCAGGAGAAAATTCCAGAAATGTCCATGGGGAAGGCATGATGGCAGGGCTGAGGTCAGGTAGGGAAGGAGGATGAGCAGAAGTGGATCTCATCTCAGGGGTTCATCTCCGCCTTTCTGCGTCTCTCACTCCAGCCTTCCCCCCAAGAAAGGAGGCTGGGACTCTGCATATTATTAATCATCTTCCCTTTCAATACTGGTGTGTTTGCTGCCCAAACAAGTTGTATTTTTTACAATTTATCCTAGAAAGAGAGCATTCCACTACCTATTTCCGAACACTTGATTTGGGGTGGGATGTATTTCATTCCGTGTTTCACCAGGAAGAATACTTGTTATTTCTTTGACTTTTAAATGTTCACTTTGGGGTTGGCTACCAAATTATTGTTACCTAAAAATATGATTTCTGCTCATTAAAATAGAAGGGGTTGCATGGGGGTGGCTTTAGGGCAGTGCCAGCGCCATTTGCTTCTGAGGTGTTTAAGAATGTGACTGATTAGGATAAGGGCTGAGCCAGTCCCACACTCGTGGCTACTCACAGGAGGGCCTGGAAGGCCTGGGAATCCATCGAGCCCATCACGTCCATGGATGCCATCGTCACCTTTCAGACCAGGCACACCTGGGACACCTGGTTGTCCCCTCTCACCTGGGAAAGAATTTGGAGCATGACTCTACTCACACAGTGCTGCCATAGAAGGACAAATGGTCCAAGAATTGGTTGGTCACAGAAGACTGACCTTTGGTGGTAATTGTCCTAGAATCTCCCTTTATTCCTTTGGGTCCAGGAAGTCCAAAGTCACCAGGGGATCCCTGTAGAAACAAACACAAAATTTATTCCTCCTTCATGCTGTTAAGGTGATTTTCCATCCATGCAACTTGAGGGCCATTACCCATCATCAAGCCCAGCACTGTCCATAAGAACTTCCTGCCAAGCTAGAGGTGCTTCATACCTGGCTGTCCAACACAGTGGCCTCCCATCTCTAATGGCCACTGAACATTTAAATGTGGCCCCTGGGACTGAGGAACTGAATTTAAAATTTTAAATAATGACAACTTAATGGAAGTAGTCACACGTGGCTGGACAGTGGAAACCAGAAACTTGCTAGTCAAAGTTTAATCCACGGACCAGCAGCAGAAGCCTCTCCTGGGAGCTTGTTAGAAACGTAAAACCTCTGACTCCACCTGAAGCAACTGAACCAGAATCTGTATTTCAACAAAGTCCCGGGGATTCATATACTTGTGAGTTGTTGAGAAGCAATGATCTAAAACACAGGGTGGCTCACTCTTAAGTACAATTACTTACAATCTGAGCAGATAATAAGCCTCCAAGTACTAAGGATGGAAATCTGTCATCATTAATATTGAGAACAAACAATATTTAATTGACAGCTTGTCTTCCAAATGGAAATTCAGGTTGGGAGGAAACATACTCTTGAGACAAGCTTATGGCAGGGACGCTCACATTTTAGGTTTTCCAATGAGCAGAAATGAGCAACTTAATGGCTCAGGCTGCATTTTCATATGTGTGATTAGCTAGTTCTGGGCAGATTTTGGGTGGTGTTATTTGCAAGACTGTGGGAGCTTTTAGTGTTGGTTTAATTAAATGGAATGTTACAAGTGATTGAATTCAGTTTTCTTAAAAAAAAGTCCACAGATACTTGGTTTATTAATTTAGTTCTTCGCAGAAAGGGGCGACATTCTTTCAGGATCCAGACAGTGTCTCACACCCTGATGCTGCTCACTAAGTAGGTGTTGGTTGGGCAAATGGATGGATGGATGAATTCATTTACTGACCGATTCTCATAATTCCAACACTCTGCCAGCCTCTATCAGTACAAATATTTAAAAACAAAAAACTGCCTTAGTCATTCCTACTGCAGTGGGGTTGGCAGACACAGAAACATATAATTAAATACAAGATAGCAAACACAACACCAGAGGTGTTTGAGCACAAGTGCTGTGGGGTGCATGCAATATAGGAGGGGAAAGCATGGGCACTGAGAACATTTTAGACATTCCAGGTGCACAAAATGTGATCCATGTGGCTTCTAGGAAACAGTCAATCATTTTGTAAACAACTGACGAGTCTGCTAGTTTTGCCATTATGTTTGCAATTATCACGACATACCCTTTCCCATGCTTAGACAGCCCTGATTTGCTTAGACAGCCATTTTTATACTTTTTTTTTTTTAAGTGGAGCCATCCTGCCACCTGTTGGAAGCTCAGCGGCTGCTCAGCTCGGGCCGGGAATTGAACTGCTGTTGCTCAGAGCTCAAACTCTTGAGCAAGCTCTTAACCAACTGAGCCACTCGGCTGGCCCACAAGACAGCCATTTTTAAACTAGGATAAAACGTAGCACCTACTAACTTTAATTGGATAAAACTATTTGTTTTCTGAGAACAGGGCCTGGAGCAGAGAGGTGTTTTGGATCTCATTTTCACCTGCAAAACAGCAGTCATGACCTTCTGAATCAGCAGCTCTGAATGGCTGTAATTCTCTGGAGCCATGTTGTGGAGCTGCATCGTTCTAATTGTCCCTGGCCAAGTGTCCTGAGCAAGTTTCCTCTATTGCTAAATATGTAAAACGATGAACTTTTCACTTTATAAATCTCCTGCAGTTCTCTTTTTAAGGAAAAAAATAAAAGTATAATTTTGCTTTCATCTGAAATTTGCTTTGAAATTGGTTAGTTAAAACCTGCCACGGTAAAAAGATCTACTCCAGGTGATCTGTTCATAAAGTGTGAAATAAAGTCCACTTAGCTGATGTACATGGGAGTCACAGACAGGGAATTTCATACACTCATGTCAAGTAAATTCATGATTGCCTTGGAGGTCTCAGTTTTATTGGGTTAAGGGAGCCTTCATAAAACGCTAAACCAGTTTACATTAAATTTGAAAAGGTGATAAATAAGATGTAATAAATAAGATGCTTTACATTCAAAATGCTAGAAGTTTTTTTTGGGAGGTATAATTCATATACCATAAAATTCATCATTTAAAACCATACAGTGTAGTGGTTTTTAGCATTTTCACAAGATTGTGCAACCATCACTGTTATCCAATTTCAGAACATTGTCATCACCCCAAAATGAAACCCCGTTCCCATTAAATAGTCACTCCCATTCCTCCCTGCCCCCAGTCCCTGGCAACTGCCAATCTACTTCCTGTTTCTAGATTTGCTTGTTCTGGACACTTCATATGTATAGAATCATATAATATGTATTCTTTTATGTCTGTTTTATTTTACTAAATATAATGTTTTTGAGGTTCGGCCATACTACAGCGCATGTATCATCACCTTATCTATTCATCAGTTGATAGACATTTGGGTTGTTTCCACTTTTTCGCTATTATTAACACTGCTATGAATATTTGTATACAAGTTTTTGTGTGGACATGTGTTTTCAAACTCTTGGATCTATATCTAGGAGCGGACTTTTCCGGGGGAATTGTCAAACTGTCTTCCACAGTGGCTGCACCATTTCACACTCCCACCAGTAAAAGTTTTCAAGTTCCTCTTGGAATATGTGGCCTTTTTGAATGGAGTGTTGGGTGCATGAGTGTTGCTGGTCTTACACTGTGTTAATTCAATAAATAAAAACCAGGAATGGAAGAACAAGGATAGGTATCCAATGTCTTATCATCTTTGTGATAGAACTGGTCTCTCACCTTGAACCCTGGGAACCCAGGGATGCCATGCGGGCCAGGGTCTCCTTGGCTCCCTTTCTTTCCTGGCTCTCCGTTGATGCCTGGAAAGCCTTTGGGTCCTGGCAGCCCCGGAAGAACCCCAGTTAACTGATCACCTGCGCATTTACAGTCCCCATCATCACCTGCAACGTGAGAAAGGAGGGACTTGTTATTTATTCGCAAAATGTGTGTTAAACACTCTTCTTGGCTTTGCAGGGACAAGCGCATAAGCCAGTGGGGGGACCGGGTGGGGGGGGTGGGAAGGCAACACCGCACTCGATGGCCATCATCAACTCTGGTCGTCACACTCCTGTATGCAGTGGGGGCTGTCATCTCCATGTCTTAGATGAGGAGAATGAGTTACACAAGTGTGCAGTCATGGTGTCCTCAGGATGCAGAATTCTACTGTGATGTTTACTGAAGATGCTTAAACATGGGACCATTTATAGAAGTGTGCTTGGAGTTGAGGACTCAGTGACAGGAGCTGTAGGAAACCACGATGGGGCCTCAGAGGCAATGAAAGATGACAGTGTTCTAGGGTCTGGGTGAAGGGGCGCAATGGGGAAAGGCAGCCTGGCAAGAGATGTGGGCTTGGAGGCCAAGGTCATAGGTGGGCAGAGACGAAATACGCCACCTCTCTTCTGTCTTGTCATCACTGAATCTAGGCAGCCTGGAGCCAGAGGTAGGGCTGGCTCCCCAGGACACAGATGGCTCAGTGGGGCTGAGTTGTACAGCTCATCCACAGATGTCTGATTCCTGCGGTCAGCCCCGCCACAATGGGGAACTGTCACACCCACACATCCCACATGCACCATATGGTCCAGGTGTGGTTAAAGCCAGAACATGCTACCCAAGCCCAGGGATGGGACAGCTGCGCAAGCTTCACCATGGTCCTTGACAGCCTCACAGAGAAGGGGCCACCTGGGCCAACCCTTCCCTGGATAGCGCATTGAGCTAGGGGCGGTGTTCCCGAGGTGCAGCGGGAAAGGAGAAAGCAAAGACAGCTCGTTCCAACTGCGCTTCTGCCACCAAATAGGAGCGAGACACTAGGCAGGTCACATGACTCCTCTGAGCCTTGACCTCCTTGCCCATTAATTAATCCCTAACTCAGGGAGTCATTCTTAGGATCAGACCAGGCCATTCCTCCAAGAGCACCCTGCAGAGGATGGGGCCTTTGCAAATACGCGTTCCACTGCCTTGGGGCTGAGCACTTGGCTCTGACTTCAGCCTGAAAGATCACTGCCCATCTTTTTTGTCGTCTGCACTCCCTGAATATTCAGTGATGAATGCGGCAGACAGAGAACAGAGAAGAGTGAGCATATTGAGTGCTGGGTGCTCAGAAAACGTAGCAGACATCACCCACCTTGATTTCAGTGGAATTTCTATGGAAGAAAGGGGGCCAGTGGGGAAATGGAGGATCGTGTTCATTTCAGAACAACAGAATAGGGTGGGGTGGATCAGAAGGGCTGAGTCACCCCCACCCCTCTCCATCGTCCCCAGACATTCCATACCTTTCCATCCTTTCTGTCCACGAGCCCCAGGGAAACCAGAAGACCCCGGAAAGCCCGGCTCTCCGTCTCTTCCTTTAAGGCCGAAAAGGAAACCTAAGGAGAAAACCCACAGGGACCGGCATGTTAGCATAGCACAGGGGACCCCACATCTTGCCGAACCCCGTGTTGGAAGGTTTTCCGCTAACTCTCCCAATAGGGAGTAAAAATGACCCACACGCTCCAATTCCATTCCAAAACCCCTCTTCAGGAATAAGTGGAGACCGTTCTGGGACCATAGGTTTCAGCGGTGAAAAGAGATGTGAGAGCCCATTCATTTAGATTTTCTATTAAAGTATAGAGGTACAAATCTTTGTTTTGAGAAACATTGGGTCCAAGAAAAGGCTTTGATTTTTTTGATCACGTATTTTATTTATGTGCTAAAGACCTTGATTCTAACATCTGCTTCCCTAAGGGACAAAAAGCAAAACAAAACGAAATAATAAAGGGTATTACAACTAATTTGGTTCCCTATTCTCTTCTTTCTCTTGGAACAGGTGCATACATGTACATCTCTCCCCCCCCCCTCCCCCCAACACTCTCTTTCCTCTTTCACTCTTTTGGGTGCACACACATACACACATGCACACATGGAGTTCATGTAATTAATGTAGATAACTTGTGACGGATCTGGATTCAGCATGATCACGTCCCCCTTCCCGTCCCTCATTTCTTTAACTAGGATCAGAGTACTTCAAAAGTCCTCCCTTCATCTGCAGGACTCTGATAATTCCAAGCAGGGATATCCAGGGCAAAGGCGTAAGAAGCACACTCAAAAAGCCAACAAAACTCTCCATGTCACATTTGAGAGGAGTGCCATCTTGTGGTGAGAAGGGGACTTCACATGGCCAGGGTATGGAATCTGTCTCCTTGACAGGTTCTGTTCTCGCTGCTATACCCTGTAGTGCTCATAGCTCTAAAGACCCAATAAAACTCCTCCAACAAATTAAAATACATGCTGCCATACTTACCTCATGGTACCTGAGAGGAGGAGAGAATGAAGAGATTAAGGAGGCAGGAAAAAAGGAAACCACTAATTGAAAAAACTTTTGCTGTCTGCTTGGCAAAATGACACCAGAATTTGAGTGTCAGAAAGCTCCTAGGTAACTATAAATCTTTATGGAAAGGTGACAATGGCTATTGTCCCATGTAATTTGGTCTCATTACACATTTAATATAATCTTGCATACACCAATTCATCCATCCATTCGTGCATCAAACATTTCTCCAGAGCTTATGCTGTGCCCAGCAGTGTGCTGGCAACTGTGTATACAGTTGGAAACAATGACAGAACCACATGGACCTTACAGTTTAGATGTGGAGGTATACATCAGACACACCTTAGTAAACAGACCAACAAGAATCTCAAATCATGGCCAGTGCTGTCAGAACAGGGAGCTCAGAGAAAGTTAAAAAAAAAAATCATTAAAATTGGGGAGAAGGCGTCAGGAAAGTGCTTTCTGAGAATGTGACACTAAATTAAGACCTAAAGAATAAAAGACAGCCAGTCAAGAGAGGGTGGGAGGGAATGTTCCTGAGAGAGGATAAGCTTGTCCAAAAGGCCCTGAGGTAGGAAGAAAGGCAGTCATTGGAGGGTGATGAGTGAGAAGCGGAGTTACAGGAAGGAAGGTGAAGGGGATCATGTGGTCTAAGGAATGGGGTTTGGATTTTATCCCAAGGGCAATAGGAAGCCATTAAAGGGTTCTAAAGAGAGAAGTTATACAATCTAATTTACATGTAAAAAGGACATAGGCGGTGTAGACAATTACTAGAGACAGAAAGAATAGAAACTGGTTGGCTATTCTAGCAGACTAAGCATGACATACTGTGATGGCTTTGATCAGGGCAAAAGCAGTGACATGAAGAGAACTGCACGGATTCAAGATTCAAGAGGCAGAATCACTAGGACCTGGTGGTGGATTCGCTGTGTGGGTGAGATGCCAGAGCGACTCTCAGGGCTCTGGCCTGAGCCCCTGGGTCTGTGGACATGGGTGAGGCCCAGGGGAGCAGGAAATTCAGAGTTCCGTTTTGGACACACAAAGTTGGAGATTTCTGTGATACACACAGTGGTGACTATGTGACGAGTTAACATTTTGTATGAGTTTGGGGTTCAGAACACAGAGCTGGGCTAGAGACACAATTAGGGAGTGCTGGCATAGACCTTTATTTAAATTCATGTGAAAGGATGAGTTCACCTGGGTAGAGAGTAGGGAGAGAGGAATGCACTTCAAGGAACTCCATCACCTACTGGATGGATGAGTAGAGGGGGGAAGAAGAAGGAGGAGCCAGCAAAGGGTCCTCAAAAACAATGGTCTTTGCATAGTCGATGTAGAGGCCTGACCACCGCATTGTATTTCTGAAACTGATGTTGAATAATACTGTATGTCAACTATAATTATATATATACATATAGTCTCGGGACATGGAGTAGAGAGCGGGAACGGATTCAATGGAATTGTAATAGATAAGCATGATATTGGGGGTGGGAGGGCAATAGATAGGGGAAGGGGTGTTGTTACCTGGTGAGGGTGAAAAGGGTAACTATTGTATTGTTCGGTACACCTGAAACTAACAATAAAAAAAATAAATAAAAAAAGAAAAGAAAAGAAAAAAAACACACAAAAAAACAATGGTCTTTGAGATAATAGGGGGCATGAGACAGTGGGGCATCATGGAAGGCCAGAGAAGACGGTGTGTGAAGAAAGGGATGTCGGCTGTAACCTGTGCTGCTGAGAGGAGCAAAATGGTGCTCCTAGGATATGCTCCATGGGTCATTGGTAACTGGGTCAGAAGCATTTCAGACCAGCGGTGGGCTCTGTGGGCTTTATTTTATGTCTCCAAGTTCTTCCAATATGTTATGAAAAGTACAGTATCATAGGTAGTTATTTAATCACTGATGCTTCAGATATATTGGAATTTTAAATGTGACACAAAGAGATTGTGGGTGTTCCTTATAGAATTTGTAAATCTAGTCAAAAGGCACAGTGTGGCCATCTTACGGTGCCAGCTTTCCTTTTCTCTATGTTTTTTTTTTTTCTTTAATAAATTAGTAATTTCAAACAGGTTCTATGGAATAGCAGTGTGCCTCTTAGATCTTTTTAACATGATTTTCCTGAAGAGGCCAATGGCTATAACATACCAGGCAGTATTTTGACTTATTCTAGAACACAATGGAACTGCCAGTTAACTGAGCTGGAACTAGGAGGCGGCAAAAATATTTAGCTCAGAAAGAAAACTGACTTCACGGTTTGGTTTTGCTGGAACTGCAAAGCAATAGAAATTCTGATTTTCATCAGTAATGATACTTAAAATAGGATGAAATGCAGATAAGAAAAGAATCCAACAATTTCATTCCAAGAGAACAGTTGAACTCTGTGGGAATCAAGGTCATAGATATTAAATTTTGATTATATACAATAATGTTTTTAAAAGTCATTATGGCTGGCTACTCTTTGTGCAAGAGATTGCTTAAAAAAATGATGATTGGAAACTACGTGTCTCATGGGGTAAGATAAATATTTCAAGGAGAACTTAAGTTATATGCTTTTAAATTTTTTAGTTGATAAAATTTAACAAATACCATTCCATCTATTTTATAAATTCTCTCTTTAGTTTACAATATGAATCAGAAATAAGTTAATGTGTTTTTTAGATGACTTGTTAGTACATCATAAGTTTGCTAAGCAAGATATATAAAGCAAGATCGCATGAGTTTATGTCCTTATTGAAATGGGATTTAGTTATAGGAATAATGGCAAGGTTAGCCTTCAATCACAGGCCTTTAAAGAACCATATTTTTATGCTTTTATTTTTACTACATCATGTTTTGTTGCTAAAAAAGGAAAATTCAACAAACATCATGTACTCAGGAAATACAACACTCATAGAAATGTAGCCATTATCACAAATGTCACAGTAATAAATATTACTTCCAGGATAAAGAAAAGTAAAGACAACACTGCTCAAACTACTTGGCAAATTCCAGGGAAATACCTGCACTTAAAAATTTTCAAAAGAATGTGAGAATCTGGTTTTTCCAGTTGAGGGAAAATTGTGAATGCAGAACGATATCAACTTAAAAATTTACTGTAGAATGCAAAATAGAATCACAGTCATGACTGCTGATTTATTAATGGAAAAAGTCTGCATAGATATGCTTCTAATGCCTATAACAATTTTCCTGCTAGAGATGGCAAAGAGAAGTCATCTTCCAAAGGCAATTAAAGCATGGGTCTTTGAATTTACCTTTAATGAAATCAAACAGGACCGTTAGCAAATATGATGCTCTTCCTCTCTGAAGAGAGGAGGCCATCGAGGTGATCAGGGCTGAGGTCAGGAAATTTGAAGTTAACTATTTTGAAAAAAGAGGCTGCTAAATTGTGGTCCATGTCATGTGGAAAGAAATTGTGACCTTACGTTTTCTTCTAATGCCTCAACTATCCAATCTCCTGAGGACATGAAATGTTTCCATTAAGAGATTTTATAGCGTCTAAAGCATAACTCTTTAAACACGGAAGCTGAAAAGAATAACTATGTTTGATGGCAGGCTCAAAGACGAGTGCACACTTCCCTGCCTCCGAAGAGCATTCTCAACTAAAGAATGTTACCACGGGAACATCGGAACCTAGAAATGCCACTTAGTGCTACGATTTGATGATGCCCCCTAGGTAGCATGTGATGACAGCATCTCATGCTTGTCTACCTTATAGCCTTCCATCTCGCCCTTGGTTAATGGCTGCCACTTCTTTTTACAGGTGGTGCAGCCACCCCTTCTTATCCTCAACTGTTGCCACCTGTTCAGCGGTAGCTTTGGTTCTGCATGGGCCGAGAACACAGATTATCAAGTCTGCTTACAATTGTCGGTCATACAGAGGAGAGAGGCTGGAAGTCAAGATGTGAGACCTCTGACCCCAGAAGAAGGTGTCTGGAACTTATCACCCGACAGCTTTCAGCTCTCATTGGCTTCCAGGCTGCACCTCTTAGCTGTTTCACTGAAGGACTGATCTCACTGGAGCCATGGCCAGCCAGCCCTTACTGTGTAATATCCATGGGACTGTTAATACTCAACAGGTTTGCAAGGTTTTGCCCTTCTTCCATTACCAGCTATTTCTATTGCACCACAGAGCATCTGCTACACCCTAATCCGCTTCCTACTGCACTGATTCATGACATTATTTTGCAGAAAACCCAAGGAAAAATATGGCTGGGCCAGGGTTCTTTGTCTGGACACCAGAAAGCACCTGTCTTGAGTTTCCCTCTACTTACCATCTGGCCCAGGTGGTCCAGCGGGCCCTGGGAGTCCTCGGAGCCCTGGCTTTCCGTCAGTTCCTGGAGGGCCGGGGTATAGCGCAGGGATGCCCGGGTCTCCTATGAAGCCTTTGGGTCCCATTTCGCCCGGGAATCCTCTCTTCCCATCTGAAAATCCAACAGCAATCACCAATGTGACATTTCTGGTACTTAACAGCTGTGTCAGCATTCTGTCTGTAGGAGGCCACTAGCGGGACTAGTGGATTCACTATCCAGTCAGTAACTTAAGGGGGAAATGCTAGTGGTATATTTTAGCACCATTTTTCAACTTTAAAAAGCCCCTCTTCTTGCTCCCAAATGGTGGCCTGAGAGTTGCTATCAATGCCTGACCACATCTGTTAACTGCCCACGCTCTTCGCAGCCAACTGACAGACTCGTGCTAGTTACTCATCAGCGGCATAGTCTAACCTAGTGGGAGAGTTACTGTCACAAGTCCAATTGTTCTGTGAAGACATCCAAACATGTATGCGAGCCCCATTACAGCTGCTAAACCCAGTCTATCAGAGCACTGGCACCAACCAAACTGGGCAGTCAGTTAGCGGCCAGTGGTTTATGTGACGAGCTGAAGGGACGTACTTTTAGTCGTGGCTTTTTTTTTTCTTAAGATTTTTATTGGGGAATTGGGGAGGGGAACAGAGCTGGGGAATTGAGGGAAGGGGAACAGACAAGTTGCTATCCTTTTGTTCTTCAGTCCAGTTGTGGAGGACGTTGCTTCACTGGCCCAAGTTGGTACCATCATTGTGCTCCTCCCGGGTGAGGCAGATCAGTTGCCTGGCTTCTGGGCGTCCACTCACGCTGGCTGCTGGCTACACACGGTAGCCCATGGCAACCCACTGCAGCAGGGGTTGCAGCCTACGCCGTTGCCGGCGACTCCCGGCAGCCCAGCTCCAGGTTGAGCTGTTGTTCAGCATCTTAGCTGTAGAGGGCAGTGTCACTGGCCCTCATACGTGGGATCTGAACTGGGGCCCTCTGGCGTCCCAAGCCAGCTCTTAACCATCGCACCACTCGGCCGGCCCTAGTCATGGTTTTAATACTGTGGACCCACATTACCTTTATCTCTGATGGACGGGCCAGGGGGGCCTTGTGGGCCGAAGTCTCCTTGCTCACCCCGGAGTCCTGGCTCCCCATGGGCCCCTGGGAGTCCTGGGTCACCTCTGCCACCTGGAACCGAGACAGGCCCCACAATTAGGACACGACTGTTGTCTAGCACTTGCAATGGATGTTCACCTTTTCAACGATTACGTATTTACCAGCGCCCTGCATGAGGCACGGTGGGGATGAAGCACGGTGCGGGGCCAAATGTTTAACACGGATGTTCCTGGTTCCTGTTTTCAAGGAGCTCACTCCCAATCAACGGGGTGATACAAGATTCTTATAAATATTATAAAACAATAGAGGGCACAGAAAGCCAAAAAGATACAGGGAGATTTCAAAGGAGGGGAAGATTAGTTGGGGAAAAAATTTGATATTAAGGGACCATGGAGAATATAAATAATAGAAGTAGATAACATTTTGAGCTATGGCTGTGTGTACTAGGTTCAGTGTTAAACACGTTACACACATTTGATTCCTATAAAACCACGTGGTACGGATAGTATCATAGTCCCGGTTTGACAGACAGGTGAAGCATTATGCCCCGGGGCACTCAGGTTTTCTGGAGAAGGTAACCTGGCTGTTGAGCTTCAGACACTGGTGGAGTGTGATGGAGATGGGAGATGGGAGGGAGAGGGCACAGGGCAAGGGGAGATCAGCCAAACTGACAGCACAGAGCTGGGAGCGCTCAGCAGGACTGGGCTGGAGTGTTGGGGTACAGGTGAACAGGGGGAGTGGAAAATGGGGTTGGATAAGTAGCTGAGTCTAGTGTGAGAATAAAGAAGGAAATGATATTAGGAATCCTCCCATGCACCAGGCGCCGTGGCAGGGGGCAAGGAGGCGGGGCTGATTCTCTCTGAGTCACCTCTTCCCCTGAGCTGCAGCTCCTGCCTGGATAGGCTTTTCATAACTGTTTGCTGGATGAATAACATATAAATGCTCTTACGAGCCTTACCCCTAAATAAACAAATGCAAAGTGGCATTGCCACATTCTTCAGCATGTTGGATGAAGACATGCAAAAGCAGTTATTAGACCGACAAATGGTTCACACCTAAGCAGGACAGCGAGTCCTTAACCCCTGGGTACATATAGGAGTGTGCCAACCAATTTACTGGCATAGGAGGGATGCACTAGACCATCTTTCTTTAAAAACAACCTCATCCTTTAAAACCCCTATCTGATATGTATGTTTTAGCTTGGACATTGTTTAGTCATTCAGACAAATATTTACTGAATACCCACTAGGTGCCTGGAACTGTTTTAGAAATTGGGGATGCAGGAGTGAACCACACGGGCTAAAATCTCTGCCTTCATGGAACTTCCTATAACATGGATAAATGATCCATAAATAAACAGATGTACAATTATTCAGGGGAGTGCTCAAAACATTTTTTTTTAGAAGGATGCACATTCAAAAAGATCCAGAGACCATTGTTCTTATTACAGAATGCGAATCATATTTCAATATACCCTCACCAATTTGGAAGGCTGAGCTAAAATAACAAGATGAGCATTAGCTGCAACACATGCAAAATCCTTCATTTATACACAGGGGTCCACTGTGACAGTGGAGCATCTTCCTGGGTAGTTGTTTATGTGCAAACATTTGGGGATTTAGTTCCTGGCAGTCTAAAAGGATGTGACGGTTCACAGGTTAAGGCTGATGATCAATTCCAGGCTTCAGGCTGGATAGCAGAGGGGCATTAGCACCTTGGTATAGAAACGAGTGAAGGTGGCTGGGCCTCCTGCCATGGAGGCCTGACGTGCAGAAGGACCGGATTTCTTTAGTGATATTGCAGGTGACAAAACCAGACCTGCACAAGGTATGGAGACTTGGAAGCATTTCCCCACAGAAGGGTCTCACCTGGAAGGTAGAGAGCACTTTCTCAGGCAGAGGCAAAATGAAGGTCTCCTATGATACCACATTGAGGCCATGAGGGAAGGTGTATACGAGACTGAGATTCTACAAAGGTTATGTTCTAAAAACCTTTTGTTTGATTTGTTTTGTGTTACTTGAGAAATCTTTCTGGCAAGTTCATGACTGTGTCCATAACAGAAGAGGATGTACATATGCAGGAGAAGTTGTACACAAACCTTTTGCCAGAGAAGGATGAGGGGAGTAGGCAGGTGGACCCGGGGGACCTCGGTCACCCACTTCTCCCTGCAGAAAACCAACAGGAAAATAGAAGAATGTGAGACCGACCTTTCAGAGTTTTGGACACTGCATATTTCCAAAGAATAAAGCCGCATATGGGCCATGAGCTGAGCCTACTATTCTGAGTAATTGAACCTTAGGCTCTGCCTGGGTACCATCTCTGCTATGCTGCGGCAGTAAGTCCAGGCATCCCAGACACACCAAGAGACAACAAAGTGGGCAGGTGCCAATATCACTTGGAAATCCTTGCCAAACACTGGACCCAGTCAGGACCCTGCTTTCTGCAGGGCGGACTGCTCCATTCTTGATAACGGTGTCTGAACCACCCTGTAGGACGAACTGGGGGTGATGCAGCGACGCACTGATACAATGTCTTCCGGATTAAGACCGAACATTTCAAGTGCTGCCTTGATGACTTTGGGCCTCACTGGCTTTCACAGGCTTAACGATGAGTTTCCCTGTCCTCATAAGACATGGCCCCCATCCAGCAGGAAAACCTCCCTCCCTGGCTGGTTTCCCCATCAGCTAAAACAGCCACACCCCATCTGATCCTCAATTTACCGGGTTTTCCTTCCCTGCCTGCCCATGGGATTGAAACAAGTCAGTTATATCCTCCCTTGGGAATCAGGGGGTACCCTACCCTCTTGTTACTACAAGGACCCTCCCACAGCCCTGCTGGTTCCCTCTGCTCTGGGTGCAAACTCCATGTGGTCCTGCGTGGAGTGCAGCACCCTGAAGCTGGGATACATGTGGCTAATAGATGAATGTCCATCTCATCTCTCCAGTGCTGGGTGCCGTGTGTTCCCTTATCTATTCTTATATAGGATAGAGGATACCTCCCTTGTCCAACATGAGAAATAGGAGGTGATCAGAACACTATCCAAAGAAAAGTGAAAACTGTCCAAATAAAAACTAAGCTCACCTTGGGTCCTCGGGGTCCATCAGCGCCTGGATAACCATCAGGTCCTCTGCTTCCCTGCAGAGAAGATATTTGGTGCTTATTTCTTATCTCTAACATATAATTTAAAGAAGTGACCACCATACCACTATTATGTCTAATAAAATGAACAGTAATTCCCTAAAATCACCTATGACCCACTCTCTGTTCAATTTTGCCTATTTTGGTCTCAAAAATGTCTTAATGTCTTTTTAAAGTTGCTTTGCTTGAATCAGGATTCAAAGTCCAAACATGACATTTGGCTGTTTGCCTCTTAATTTCTTTGTAATTCCTAATAGTTTCTTCTTCCTTTCTACTTTTTTAGTAACTTCTGTTTGTTGTTGTTGCTGTTGAAGAAACTGGGTCATTGGTACTGCAAATACGCTACATGGTGGATTTCATCTACTTCATTCTTATGGTGGGATATAATATGCACCTCTATCCCCCACATTTTCTCTAAATTAATTAGTTGTTAGCTCTGGAGGCCTCATTAGGCTCAGGTTCATCTTTTCAGCAAGAATCACTCGTGGAGGGTGCTGTGTCCTTCCTACTGCATCACTTCAGGAGGCACAGATGCTGCTGAGTTTGAGTGATTTTATGATTGATCAGTGGGGCTATGCTGACAACCTGATCCGTCTGTTAAAACCTTCCTCTCAGATGGGTTTTGAAAAATCTCAGTGAACACCAAATAGGAGCATTAAAGCCTCTCAATCTAGATTTCTTTCCTCTATTAAAAAAAAAAAAGAAATCTCTAGCGCTCACTGTTGCTTTCTAATTCCCTCAGATATATATCAAAAGAGCCATAGCATATCTGGGTAGATATGTAAACCTTTTTAAAAAATTTAGAAATTTATTCCCTCTTGTTAAAGAATACATACAGTAAGGCCCCCAAAATTCAGAATGCCAGGTGCCAATGGTATAAAAAGAACGGTCATTATCCGATTATTTTACATGATATTTTAAAATCTAGGAGCATGTATGCTGCAAGTCACGTTGTTAGGAATCTAGAATGAAGATTGGCTTAATTTTGAGTTTTTCATGGAGGGACTATGATTTAGACGGACTTTCTTTTACACTAGGTGGAGCTGAAGATTCAAAAGTAAAGGCAAATTTCTCTGATATTAAAAATGGTCTCCTATGGAGAGGTCATCTCATGAGATAGGTTGGGAATCATTAAAGAGCTTGCCAATGACTGGGGAGCTGGCTACTAGGCATTCAGTCCAAGCTGGGTCCAGGGCTGACCTTACAATTCAGCTCAAACAAGGCGCTAGACTTTGTCACCTCTACAAGCCACTCTGTGCCACCCAAGCACTGCTCATCATCAAGCAACAACAGGCATCCCTAGAGAGAACTAAAGTTCTGTCAATCTGATGAAGAATGGGGGTGGGGGTGGGGGGTGTAGTTGATTCTCTGCTCCTGTAGAGAAAGCAAAATCTTTCCCAGAATCCTCTTTTTGGTTTCATCCTATGTCGATGAGTTGTTTATGTTGGTGTTCACAGTTGCTTCTTGGGGCTGCCTTTGGTTAGGTTCCATTTTACATCCTTACACCAAAGTCTGTGAGGATAACTGGGAAGTTAGCTGGGGAGTAACGGCAAGTCGGCAAGTAAGATAACACATGATAGCCATGTCTGCAGTGCAGTGTGGTACTAACAGGATGACTTCGCCATGTGTGTTTATCCTAAGCACTTCCTATTTGTACAGTCCAGGAGACGATTTTCCCACAGCAACTGAGATGCCCACTTATTTGGAAGAATCTGTGTCTTCTCCAGTTGTTCCAAGTGCAGAAAGCAAGCTGGAAGATGTGAGCCTTCCACCCTAAAATCTGGGCCACAGCAGTGAGAGGCCCAGGTGGTCACTGCCTGGCGAACATCTTGTCCTTCATTAACTTCTGAGTTCTCAGCAGGGCAGCTGTGTTGAGCTGCATTTTAAAAACACTGTAACTCCTTAGTGTTGGGTGTAGAAAAACAAACCATAATTATGATTTCACTAGCACATGTGGGCAATCAAAATATTAACAGTAGTGTTTTAATTACATGGGGGTGAGTGGAAACGGATTACTTTTAAATGCTAACGTTGGCTTTAGTTCTCTGTCTCTACACAGCACTTGCTTATTGCAATCCTTAAACCAGAATTCAGTCTTTTGGCCTTTGATTGGGCATTGCATGGACAGCTATTGCTCCAGGTATGCTACCTTTGGGAGGAGTCCTATCAGTTACTAATGTTATGACAAGATAGGTGTAGTTAGTGCAAACCCTGGTGTCCTCCCTGGCCTGAGTTCAGTATAAAAGGACAAGGATAGGAAAAATAAGATCAAATGAGGTCGCAGGAAGGAATCAAGATTGGTGCTCATTGTGAGTGGTCCAAACCAGAACACGAGGGAAAGACGCCTGTGCCTGGAGCTGACGGGGGTCAGAAACCAAATTTGGGAGGCCAAGTCCCAGAACAAAAGTGGCAGAACTCCCTGCAGAGGGACTGACGAGACCCAGTGCTTGCTAGCAGCATCCTGATGGCTCTCATTACCATCCTGTGATGGAGCCATGAGCACAATTCAGGGCAGTCATGATTTGGAGGCTGAATCAATTTTTTAAAAAAGTCTCTTTCTGTGTACGTACTAGGACTGAATTATGGAAATACTAGCCCTTGTGTACCAAGATGTGTGTACCACAGTGTTGACTGCAGAATTATTGGAAATAGCAAGCAGCTAGAAACCACCACAAGGGGCTAGTTAAGCAAATATGGTACAGCCGTTCACCATAATTCTGTGCAGCTTGTTAGGAGAACTATGCAGATGTGTATGTGCTAATGTGCAACAATCTCCAAGGCGTGTTGGATGAAAAAGTGGCAGAATGATAGATGTTTTTGCTTTCTGTTGTTACATTATATGCATATAAAAACGCATGTCTTTTGTATGCTAGCACCTATCTGAAATGATACCCACAGAACCATTTACAGTGGTCGCCTCTGTGGAGAATGCTGGGATCTGCGATGGGAAGGATGTATGCTGTATATTCCATGACCGAATTTATGAAAATAATAAATCATTAATTAAAAATCTATTTCTATGTGTACGCTCTCATATGACCTAATATTCAGACAATTCGAAGCCTGAACCAGATTCACAATATATTTCTCACGTTTTCTTAAAAAAATTGCCAAAAGTCTATCCACAGAACACGTGGTAAAAATGACTGGGACATCATTAAAGAGAAATGAAGAATTAAAATGTGTGAGATCAATATGTAAAAAATGTAGGCGAACCCTTGGTCACCACACTGAAAACCTTCCCAAGAGTGACATACAACGACGCAGAGGAGAGGCGTGAGACTGGAAAGCACAGAGGCCCACAGTGGTTGGTAGGGGCTGGATCAGCGGTTCTCAACCTTTCACAGGGGTCGCCTAAGACCATTGGAAAACACATATTTTCGATGGTCTTAGGAACCGAGACACCGCTCCTCTATCCGTCTCCAGGCCCACATGCAGATACGCCCACATATGAGCCCTGGTGACCCCTGTGAAAGGGTAGTTCCACCCCCAAAGGGGTCACGACCCATAGGTTGAGAACTGCTGGGCTGAATGATGGGAAGCTTGGAGGAAGAGAGCCAAAGGAAAGAACCAACGGACTGGTTTGCAAAATGAGAAGTAGGTAAATAATCTTACTCAAGGAATTCAAATGATTTGAGACGAAGCATTATTTATGCTACGATAAATGCAGTGAAAGTTTTAAGTGCTTTTTCCAGGGCAATTCCCCCCCCCCGGGATTCCAGCCTTTCTAGTTGACCTTTGTGAGACGTTTCAGGCCTGGGGGAGCAATTGCATTTTATGTATCACACTTACTTTTTGTCCTGGAAAACCGCTTTCACCATCAGAGCCAGGGGCACCCTGGGTTGAACAGAAAACAAGCGATAACAGTTTAGAACACGCAGCAATGTTTTCCAGAGGGCATTACTACGGCACCTGACATGGACTAAGAAAAAAGAAAACTTTACTAGGAAAGTACCGCAACCATAAGAAACTCCTTTTATTTTCTAAAATTGTCTGAATTTTAGTAACACTTTCATATAATGCAGCATATCTACCACTTAAAGAAATATGGAGAAATCTATAAAAACTGGTATGCTAAAAATGGTAAAGATATTTAAAAGGCCTGCACTCCAATGTTCTCGTGAGTCTCTGTTCTTATTTTTGGAGCATGTAACACAGTGATGGGGAGCCACAGGTGGCTGGATCTCCTTGGGAGGAGACACTCCCTTGCCCCCCCCCCCCACCCCACTAGGGGCATTTTTGTTGCACTCTTAGGGCAGCAAGAATTCGACTTCCCATGTGTTGGAGACAATCTACATTTTTGTTGTCACCGGTTTATTTAGCCTAATTAATACAAGCAGAAATGTATTTGTGCTCTGTTTCTACCCTTCACCAAATGGAGGTGCACAGTTATTGCCCGTTATTGGGTGATAATAATGTGTCAATCAATGTAGGCTCCTCTCATTCACTGTAGCCAATGGACCACTCTGGCTCAGGATGTAAATAGTGGGGGAGGCTGTGTGTGTGGAGGAGAAGGGGCTATGAGGGAAATTTCTCTGTACTACATGCTCAACGTTGCTGTGAACCAAAAACTACCCCAAAAAATAAAAGTCTATTTGAAAAACAAAACAAAACGACGACAGTTATAAAAGGCATGGTTTACCCGTGGTCCTGAAAAGCCCATGATTCCTTCTTCTCCCTTCAAGGAAATGCCCTAGGAGAGAGCACAGAGACCTGAGGGAACGGCGGACACTTTACGCTTTACCTGCTCAGGGGTTTCGTTTTTTTAGTGCCCTGACTGTAGCCAGCCTACCTCTGTGGTTCTCTCTTTTAGCTGTCAGACTCATAGGGATCTGTGAATCTGCCTGGATTATCATGTATCCAGGATATCACCTGTCATCGCTACACAGTTAAGTGGCGATGTGGGAGAATTGGGGGTATCAGGGCAAACATGACAAAGATTAAAAAGGGAGCAGAGTGATTACATGGTTAGACCCCCGCCCCCAAGAACAGAAGTCAGTCCATCAAACCTGCTCACCCCTCTCCCCCACATCTTCTTATTTATTTATTTATTTATTTATTTATTTAGTTTAAGCTGAGCCATCCTGCCACCTGTTGGCAGCTCAGCGGCAGCTCAGCTCAGGCCGGGAATCGAACTGCTGTTGCTCAGAGCTCACACTCTTGAGCGAGCTCTTAACCAACTGAGCCACTCGGCCGGCCCCACATCTTCTCTTCTAGAGGTTAGGTTCATTTTATGAACTTCAGAAAATGTTGATTAGCTAGTATTTATTATGCAAAAAGGAAGATATTCTAAAACTCTTTTCTGAAAAAAAAAAAGCACAAAAATAAATGATAACATTTTCTTGCTGTAGACAAATGGATTGGAAACCAAGAGTCCATGGGTCATTACGACCCCTGCACACTCTATCACTGCCACAGGAACACCGAGAATTTGGAAACCACCAGTGGGAAGAAACATCTTTATTGCTTGACTTACTATTCTCCCTGGTTCTCCCTCACTTCCTTTTTCACCCTGTGAAGAAAATGAAAAATAAGAAATGCTCATTAATTTGAGAATAGTGATATTTAAAATTCATCAGGGTTTATGATCTAAGGTGAAAGGAATTTAATAAAACCTTAAACAATCATTACAAATGAATTGTAACAAACCTAAATTTTGCAGCTTCAAAATTCAAGGGAAAATGTGCGATTCCTTCTGAATTTTTATGATACAAATTAAATTGCATTATTTTTTATATAATTGCAAGGCTGTCTTTATGTGGTTTACTTTATCACCCCACAGTTGCTGGCATATAATATCCTGTGGTGGGAGACTATGCCCAGAGAAAAGCCCCAGATGATACTATTTGCTTCAATCAAGTATTATTAGGAGGGTTCTCTGAGGAAAAGATACATTTGGAATGTATTAAAACCCCAAGCAAGAGTGGCTTTGTTAACACGCTATGATCTATTTTCCTCTTTTCTCTTGGTGAAAACGGTGAAAGAAATGTAGTGACTGCCAGGTCTCAGTCTCCATCAGTGCTAGGATAGCCCCCAGATCCCTGCAGCCCAAGACTGCCCCCTGCAGGCTGGCTGGGTCCCAGCCACAGAACCATTCCCTCTTGGTTGTAGAAAAGGAAATGTGTTTTGGAAGCTTGAGCATCATCTCAGCATGGAGAGAACCTGCTCTGGCCCCGCTCCATCCTCAGCTCCTGGACAGAGGCCCTTCCTGGCTGATGGTCAGGCCACCTCTAGGAGGCAGAGGTCTGCCCAGAATCCATCCTGACAATTCAGTGGAGCCTCTGCTCCTGCCTGGTTGCCCAGGGACATCCTGCTTTTTCAGCTGTACACGCTCACTTTCCTCTGGTACTTTTGTCTTGCACCAGCCACCTCCCAGGTCACTTTTGTCAACTGTCAGGTCACTTATCACTCAGCCACAGCTGCCCGGATTCACGCAGTGGTCATCATACCTGCCTCTCCCATCCACGACTAAGCACTCAAACCCCATCTTGACAGATACTTGAGTGTTGGGAATTATATTCTTTATTTGGGGTTTTTGTTTTGGTTCTTGTTGATTTGCCTGACTTTATAGTGGGCATTTCACCCGTGGCCTCCTGTAATCCACTCCGCAGCTCTACAATGTAAGTATTACTATCTTCATTTGGTCCAAGAGAACATGAAAGCTTAGGACGGTTAAGTGGCCCATCTGAATGGGAAGTGGTACAGCAGGATGTTGATTTTTTTCAGACTCCGAGAGAACATTTTTTGATCAAATGAAACGTTAACAGACATTATAAGTGCCGGAAAATGAACTTTGGTAAAAAAACAACAACCCAGTGATGCTCTATGTCTGTGAAGAGTAAAAGTAGGTTTATTTTTCAGACTACAACATTTTGTCAGATAGGTCTATACACTGGATTTGAATTATGCTCTGACCATAACCTATGTCTACACTGGAGACTCATGTACTTAAGGATAGATGGGAGATTTTAAAAATAAATCCTTGTTTTGTTTCAACTGTGTTACAATTGTTTAACATGTGGACTAATGTAGTCACTGGACTGAATGAACAGTTGTGCTCTCATGCACAACTTGATGGTGAGGCCTTTTCCACTTCGAATGTGATTGTTTGAATAAGATTGAAGAAAGTTACCCTTCCTTCCTTCCCTCCTTCTTTCCCTCCCTCCCTTATTCCTCTCTCTCTCTCTCTCTCTCTCTCTCTCTCTCTCTCTAGTTCAAAGGGGAATACAGTCAATTTTGGCAAACCCCTTTACCTTATATTGATCTGGGTGGAATATTTCCTTCATGGGCCCGGTGCTGGCATCATGGTTGTCTGATGGAATTCCATTGGGTCCTGGCAGTCCCATCTCACCCTGTGAATAGTTTATTTTAGCAAAGCACAAGTCTTTATATTGGAAAGACATTACCACACTTGAATAAAAGCACAATCCCACCACAAACTGCTTTTTTTCTCTTTGCGTATTACTTATCACATGCACACCAATTTTGTAGTGTTATATTTATAATATAAAACACGACTCATAATTTAAAATGAAATAACCATGATGCAAAATTATTTGTATCCTTCTTGCATTAATAATAATTTAGAATGCCTGTATAAAAATTGTTTAGGTTGTTCACAATTTGAGGCTGCAGTTGCTTCTGTGGAATAACCTCCTTATGATGAATTTCTATACAAGGATATCATTAGGTCTGAGGGCTAAAGGCTAAATGTCTTTATGGGTCTTTATATGTATCACTCTATTGCTTTCCGAGATTGGTACCAAGATATAAGTAATGCCTAAGAAATGAAAGACTGCTCTAGTTTCACCACTACTTCACCAGTTAAAGGTATTTTTATATACTAAAAGGCAGTTTTTTTAAAAATTCAGGTTTTATTTTTCAATTATAGTTGACATTCAATTTAAATTAGTTTGAAGTGTACAGCATTGAGGTTAGACATTTATATAACCTTTTTCCACATCCTCACCAACACTTGTTGATTTATTGATGATGGCCATTCTAACAGTTGTGAGGTGATATCTCTTTGTAGTTTTAGTTTGTATTTCTCTGAAGAGTAACATTGAGCATCTTTTCATGTGTCTATTGGCCAGCTGTATGTCCTCTTTGGAGAAATGCCTATTCAGATCCTCTGCTCATTTTTTAAAAATTTATTTTTTATTTTTCCATTACAGCTTACATTCAATATTATTTTATATTAGCTTCAGGGGTACAGGATAATGGTTAGACATCTATATAATTTACAAAGTGATCCCCTGTGTAGTCTAGTACCCACCTGGCACCGTACACAGTTATTACAATATTATTGACTTTATTTCTATACTGTACTTTAGTACAGTATATATTGTGATATTGAGATGTACATTTACATCTCATGACTATTTTGTAACTACCAATATATACTTCTTAATCCCTTCACCTTTTCACTCAGTCCCCCAGTCCTCTTTCCATTTGGCAACCATCAGTTTGTTCTCTGCATCTACGAATCTGTTTCTGTTTTGTTTCATTTACTTTGCTTTTTAGATTCCACATATAGGTGAAATCATACTTATTTCACTTAGACTAATACCCTCTAAGTCTATGCATGTCACAAATGGTAAGATTTCATTTCTTCTTCTTCTTAAAGAAGTCCCTTTAACATTTCTTATAATACTGGTTTGGTGGTGATGAACGTCTTTAGCTTTTTCTTGTCTGGGATAAAAAGAAGCATCTTCAATAAATATAATATCTCAATTGTTTTAATGTGCATTTTTATCATCAGCAAGAAACACTTTTCTATGTGCCGCACAGATGGTGAAACCTATAGATCTGCAACATTACTGGACAAGTATCCTAACATACTATGTTGACCTGACTTCCCAGGAACTAATTGACACAAAAAGAAAGGTAAGGACTTTTCTTTTGCTATTTCCACATTAAAGTATATAATACCAGTTTGAGTCCAGATATCACATAATATGAACAGGAACAAATTGAGATGATGTATTAGCTGCAGAAAGTGGTACTCCACAGTGTATTCTGAGTGTTCACTAATATACCTAAAAAAAATCTAAATTATTTGTTTATCTCCTCTTTACCTATTGGAACCTTGAGGTTTTTCTTTTTTAATTAACAATTTAAATAAACTTTTTGTAGATTATTAACTTCATTTCCATTCTATCTAATGTGACTGTTCTCCTTTCTACCCAATTATTTCTTCCCAGATTTTTCTTTCTATGTTATTTTACTATTTTGTTATATTTCATTGTATAGGAATTTAAATTTTCATGTATTTAGAGCTTTCAATGTTTTTCTCTTGTAGTTTCTTGTATGGTATTACTGCAAAGAACAATGCAATTTTCACACCTGAGTAGTGAAAGTTTAGTGTAATGTTCAATCAAAAAGTAAAATGCAAAACAAAATGAAAATGCTCAAACAACGAGGCCAGAGGAACAAATCTGTTTTACAGTGGGCATGTAGCTTTTGGGGTGAATGCAATGAGGTTGTGTGCTGGTGAGGTTTTGCTCATTGGGTGTGGATGCCATGTTGAGCTTTCAATATACGTGATTTCAAGTGATCCTCTCAAAGGCCATGTGGTCTTTGAATCCTGACACTGTGGGTAATTATAAAAGTCCACGTGGTCCTCTTCCCTGCCTTTGAGCCCAGGCAGAGCTGGTTATGTCCCTTGGTCCCTGAGCTGGCTCCACATTAGTTTATGGCTCTGGCTTCTGTTTCGTTAATCACCTCTGGATTCCCCATGTTAGAAGATGGCTGAACTTATGTCTGTGTCAGAGGTCTGGGGCCAACCTAGATGATCCACTTTCACTGTCTTATTGCTCCATCACTACCACTGGAGCATGTTTGGTAAGTTGGCACTTTACAATGATCACTGATCATTTTCTATGCAAATGGTCTGTTTGCAGATCACCCCAAGAGAACAGCATGAAACACGACTATTCATGTTTATGGAACATACATATTAAAATCATGTATTTCCTAACTACCAAACACTGCATGCCTCTGCTTTAGTCTATTAAGTTTCCTTTTCCTTTACCTTTTCGCCTTTTTCTCCGTAAAAACCAAGTCCTCTGTTGCCCTGAAAGATCAATGAGATTTTGTAAGTTTTTAAAAGTCAATAATCACAGCGAAATAATTTTCTTTGTAACATTACTGAGCAACTATCCTTGCATAAATATTCTAGCTTCACCTCCCAGAAACTAATTGACACCAAAAGAAAGTTAACGTCTTTTCTTTTGCTATTTCTACCTGTAAACTGTGTAATAATAGTCCGGGTCCAGATATCGCATAATATGAATAGGAGCAAACTGGGATTCAGAAAAGTGGCACTTCACAGTATACATTCTGAGCATTCACTAAGATTAAACCTAAATGATGAAAATTCTGGGGTTCAGAAAAATGACATGCTATTCTTTTAACACAGATATGCTTTTAAGAAATTTTTATTTTATACTCTAAGCAAAACCTCAAAACTAGTGGACTAAGAGCAGTTATTTTGTCACCCTTGGGAATATTTTACTGTTTGCCTTTTGAAATACATTCTATTATTCAAACATCCTGATGATCAGAAAACTGAATATATTATTGATCTTATACTTGCTGCATGTTAAATAACAATCCAGGGCCCATGCTAAATGCTTCACTCTCCCTTTAATCCTATACACCACACGATGAGTTTGGACATCATGGATGATGAAGTTGTTATATCTTTTGACCAAGGCCTCATAGCTGATGAGTGGCAGAGCTCGATTTAACCCTAGGTCTTTCCGACTCCTTAATTGCTCATATATGGTTTCTATAGATTAGCGACTCAACGCATTTTCTCGGGTCTGGCTCCTTTACCTTTAGAAAGCAGCCATTTCCCCCCCCACTGGGTCCCATGTTTGAAGATCATGATTAATTTTCTCTTCTGCATCAGCTATTTCCCATTTTGGTACGATCATACTAATTTCACATAAACATTTCCTACTCTTTAATGATTTTAGGTGATGGTGATTCTTTGGGTTTTATACAACCTCTTGATTTTCCTTTTTTGCTTTAGAGGCAAAGTTAGGCCAAGCAGTTTAGCAAGTATTTAATAGTTTCACAAGTGGAGCTGCCATGGATGAGAGAATTTACTCAACCTTGGTGTCTAAAATAGGTACATATGAAACAATAAACAGGCACACCTTGAAGATACTGTGGTTTTGGTTCCAGACCACCACAATAAAGTAAATATTGCAATAAAGTGAGTCACATAAATTTTTGGGTTTCCCAGTGCATATAAAAGATATCAAAGTTATGTTTGCACTATACTGTAGTCTATTAAATGTATGATGGCATTATGTCTAAAATAACAATGTATATACCTTAATTAAAAAAAAATCTTATTACTAAATAAATGCTAACCATCATCTGAGCCTGTTGGAAAAATGGAGCCAATAGACGTTCTTAATGAAGGATTGCCACAAATCTTCAATTTGTAAAAAACATCTTTGAAGTGCAATAAAATAAGGTAGGTATGCCTGTACTACAAATTCATGCATGTTATAGAAATAGTCCTCTTTTCTTTGAACTCCAAGCAACTGTTTCTTTTCTAGGGTCTTTACATTCCCATATTGACAAAAGACCATGTGGGGTCCCATCTGATCTTTCTCTCTGCAGTAAACTGTCTGCCCCTTGCAATGCCCAGAGATTTTCTGAAAAAAAGAAAAAAGCCTTTAATTAATTTTTGCTGTTTTTGCTTCTTTGCCACCTGGCTGGGAGTTGAAATCAAAGCACAGAAATACAGCCAGGCTAGATTAGAATGTGATTTGCTTGGCCTCCTATGGTCCCTCTGCCTCATGAGCTGCTTGTCGAAGTCACCAGGAAGTGACCTGGTCAGGGATGAGGGTTGTTTGTGTTGCAGCCAAGTGGGGATCTGAGGCGACCTTGGGGCTGGGCCGCCCCATCCTACATCCGCTTCTCTTGGCTCTGGGCCGTTCCCACCCTGCTTGAGGCTGCCAGACAGTGGGGATCCCAGTGGTGAGGGCAGCATCCTTAACAAGCTCCATCCCTAGCCGGAAGCTGTGTCAGAGGTGATGGGAGCTGGGGGACCAGGGGGTGGTGGCAGCTGAGGTCCCCAGGAGGTCACAGAGATGGGGTTTCCATGGAGCAGGCATGGGAATGTGCAGGCTGTGAGATGTCCTCAGCCATGTGCAGGCCATGGAATGGTCCTTGAACGTTGGTAACAGAGCCCAGGATTTCCAACTCACGTTGCATTTTGATCAAATACTTTCCTCACCAACCTCCTACTGTTTGCCTTGGACATTTATCCAACTGTCCCAGATCATGCTGAACCCCAGTTCTATCTCCACATTCTAATAAGTCACTTACTTTGTTGTTCTCCAGCCAACTTAACAGTCTTTCTCTGATAGAAACAGTACAGCTTTGGGCTCTAGCCTGAGTTGAAAATCACTGACTATATCTATGCCTGGAGATGCTTGTAGAACCTAGTCATACCCAGGTAAGAATGCTACCCTCTCCTCTACAGAAACATAGCCAATTTTGTCCATTCTTGTAAATTAACACACAGAGATAAACATGATCTGTCCCTAAATCTATGTTTGTAATTAAACATTCATCAGTTTGATTTTCATGCAACCGAATGTTATGTGACTTTTCAAATAACAAATCCTTTAACACATCCACTTATTTCATGTGCCAGCTGCTCCAGGTGGACCACTTAGAATTTATAACACTAAGTCCTAAAAACCTACAAAATGGTTCTCATCATGAAATAAACAACACATAGTTGTCAACTGAGTGTTTCCATGGTCTAGAAAGATATATACAAATACATAATTCCTCCTCCTCCCTCTCCCTCCTCCTCAACAACCAACTTACGGGCTGTCCTTTTTGTCCAGGGGGTCCAGGTGGTCCCTGCACAAATACAAAGAAATTTATAAATTGTTTTTCTTTATCCCAGGACCCAGATAACATCTGCTAGAAAGTTCTGGGAAAGCCATTTACTGTATATTTAGAACACCATGTAGTATGTATGGAGGTTTCTGATACATTTGTCTCAGCAGGGAGAAACGGCTGGAGTGTCAAGGACTGGGGTCAGGCCCAGTTCTCAGACTTTACCAGCTGTCCAGGCACAGCTGTTTCGGGTTTGCTTTTCTGAGTTTAGACTTTTGACTTCACCCGTGTCCTATTCATGTTTGCCCTGCTCCCTCTGCAAGGTGGCAGGCCCCGCGTGTGCAGAGACCGTTTCTCCTGCCACCCTCTGGGGTTCCCCATGGGGCACAATCTAGCACTGTTTGCTGGTGGGTCAGCAAATGTTCACAGGTAGAACTAATCTATAGGCCAATACTGCAGGGCTGAAAGCCCATCCACAAATGTCACCATGTATCTATCTGCACAGCACTCACTGTTAGCACCACGCTGAAAGTGAGTAAGCACATGAAAAGAACAACTGGTGCTTAAATACAAAGAACTGGACAGGCGGGGAATTGGGGGCTATTTTAATGGCCCATATGAAGAATTTGAAGAGTCAGATCAGCTAAAAACCCAGCAGGTACAATCTGTTATTTCATGTTTCCCTGAACTGTGTATTTAAAGTATAACCCCCCCCCCCAAACCATGTGGTACGTGTGCTGTGAGTAAGCCAGCAAGCATACGCAATAGGAGAGCAAAGAACCTCTCATCACATAATCCTTGTTTCATTTCATTTGGCCAAGTCTTTCATAACAGAGGGCTATTTGCAAAAATGACTTTCACAGCCCCAAGGAAACTGACTTTGTAGAAACAAAATCAATGATCATTATTATCTATAGTCTGAAGGAAATTTATGAGTACTCACACCCTCAACCATTAGTATGACTGAATGGTCCCAAACATATGTGTCTCCATTGTTTCTCAACATCTGTCAAGAAACGGATACCACAGCCTCCCCTGACAGTGGCCCTCAATCTTGAGCAATGGTTTTGTGTGAGAAGGTCTCTCTCACCTATAGTCTAAATCTCTCTCCTCTTGTAACTTAAGGCCCACTTGTCTTACTCCTAAAAAATGTGGGAATGAGAGTCAGAGGCTTGAAGTAGCCAGTGCCTCTCCTGGGTCCCTTGTGCAGTGGTGCAAGTAGCCTGCAGACAGCATCGGCACTAAAAACTCTCCTTTTCCCACCTCTGCCCTCCTTGCAGCAAGCCCACCTTCATCCACGTATTTGTCCTTTGGCACCTCACGCTATCATTTGATTTGCAGGGGGAGTGAACACCTGTAGACCACCATTCAGGTGGGGCACTAGGGCCATTTCATTAATTGATGTCCAATATCTCACTTGTTGTAATGACCATGGCCAGGTGTGGTATACTTGCTGTGATGGCCGTGCCCGGATGTGATATACCTGCTGATAGCCATGCCCAGGTGTGGTACACCTGCTATAATGGCTATGGCCAGGTGTGACAGAGCTGCTATGACGACCATGCCCAGGTGTGATGCACCTGCTATAATGGCCATGCCTAGGCAAAACCCATTCCCCTCTTATCACCCTGTTGGACCTTGGTCGACTTTGCCCAGAGATGACAGGCCCCTTGTCAGCTGATTAGGTGTGGGGCTGAGAGAGCTTGTGCATGACTGGAATGGCACCCAGTCAGCACCCAGTTTAAATTTGGCATGGTTGGCAGTGATACGGTGACCATAAACCCTGAGTCCTCATGCTTCAACCTTATTAGTACCAAAATGCATGCAAAGGATGACCTGTTTTGTCTTGACATTTTCTATAGTGACCACAAGCATCATGGTTGTATTGTGAAGCTTTCACCTGTATCAACAGTTGAGGAAGCTGCATCTCTAGAGGACACTTTGGCAAGGGTCCAAGAGTGAGCACATGCACGTGGTACTTACTGGTCTTCCCGGAGTTCCAACAGGACCCATCGGTCCCATAGGCCCAGGGCGGCCGGGAGGCCCCTAGAGACAAGCAAAAGAGAGACTGTTAAGAGAAGTAGACTGGTATTTGGAGTCCTGAATTCTTAAAATTTTGTTTGGAACATTTCTAATAAAAATAAAACTTACTTGGAAACCGCCCAGTCCAGGCTCTCCTGGTTCACCCTAATTGAGAGGAAATAATTTTCAGTGTTCTAGTTTTTAAGCATCTTTAGATGTAATTACATTTTATTGCAATATTGTAAACAAGTATGAGTTATGTCAGCCCTAATAGGCTTTGGTAATGTTAATTACCTAATATCTGGGGTATTGTGATATGAGAAAGGGATGCACCCACAATTAAATATAAGATTGAAAACATCCTGAAAGGAAATAAAATTATTTTTAAATTAATCATGGTTTTGGATTATGCCATCATTCTATACATTCCTCCATTCCATTCATTCTCACAACTCAGGGTTCCCTTGGAAATTAGTTTTATTAATCAGGAATGTACAATGGATCGTTTAATCAGGTGTTCCATTTCTAACCCTTTTGCTGTGATGATCAGATATATCCAAATGAATATACCCCAAATTTTTACATACAAAAATAATGTCATTTATATACAAAGCAGCTCAAATTGTTATTATTAAATACATACAATAGTCAAAATATCAACTTTTTGTTTTTTTGTGGATTTGTGACACATTTGGGGAAAAAAAACCTTGAAATCAATTAACGCAATGAAAGACCTAACAAACTTACCCTGTATTTGTCGCGGTCCTTACTAGATAGAGCATAAGGCTCGCCTTTCTGCCCTTTGGGTCCTTGGGGCCCCTAAGGTAGCACAAATACGGTAGAAAGAGAAAACACAAAATGTGCATTAACATTCAGTGCAGCCATAGTGGTCTGAATGACTAAATATTGACTTTTATGGGTAATGTCTAATTGCTTCTCTGGCTTATTTTAGGTTATTCTGAACACCAATCCCTACATTCAAACTCAACAGTGAGACTTATTTTCGTATTTACCCACCAGTATCTTTCTTCAAAGTTAAAATGGGAATACTTTATAGGATTTAAATTATTTTCAGAAACCCAGATGAATGCTGAGTAAACTAATCCTTAAGTACACCAACATGTTATTTTTCTTTGTAATATTGTTTTGTGTTTTCTTTGGCATTAGTGTACTGAAAATATTAACACATGTACTCTGAAGCACCATTTGTGGGAGAGATACCGCGTCATTCTTTAAAACCGAAACTGTGTCAAATATACATGATATGTGTATACATATGCATGTGTATAAATGTCTTAATACCCACATATAGAATCAATATTTTAAAGTAATGAAAATGTTAATTGATAATAGAAGTTCTTTTATTACACTAGACTAGACAATGATGTAGCTTATTGAAAAGCTGAACCACATAAAAAAGCCAATGAAGCGGGAACTGGAAGGCAGAGATCTAATGATGATGAGAAATTAGGGGTCAGCTTTAGGGGAATACAAGGGGAGAGGTGCTTATGACTGTTCTTCTTCCACCCGAAAAATGTTTTAAATAAAAAGTTTTACCGAAGAAAATGTTAGTATAAACCTGAATTTGCAATATTTTGGTGGTAAGAGGGCAACAATATACTACTGAAAAATGTTTCAAGATTCTTGGGTAGGACCCTGAAAACTAAACGAGGCCCCATAAAAGATTAATATATGAAAAATTCTTCCAGTAACAAAACAAACTCCTATGTTGTATATGCTGAAGAATGTCTTAGTTCTTTCACGTCACAAAGGATTTTAGAATCTTATAAATATGGTGACTAATAGAGAATTTTGTCAAGCTTTAAGCTTTATAATTTCAGTTTTACTATTACACTATTATTCACTGTTACTTGAATTGGAGCATGGGAGAAAATGAAGTGACACTTAGGAGAATGTAGGCGTGAACAATATAAACCAAACCAATTATTTCTATCTATTGTGAAAACGAAGTTATTTAAATCCAGGAAAAGTATGCCTAGGTATCTGCAAGGAGACGTCATCAGGGAGGTATGCTTCATCCTGATCACTGACTAAGGAGACAAGAGCTATTTTTTTCTTAGGGTGTAAAAGGTAGGCTTAGCATGTGCTTGCAGCCCCTGATGGCAAGTGAACAGGAGGCAATCCATTCTTCCTCAAAAGTTTCTTGAAGATACATTCTTAAAAGGGTCTTGTGCTGGGCCTTCTGGGCCCCATGAATGACAGCCCAGGATATAGCATCTTTCATACATTTCTGCTGACAAGTGCCAGCTATCCAGGTTGTAGAGCTAACCAGGTGACAGCATGAACTGTGATGATGATACTCACGGGAGATCCAGGGAAGCCCCCAGGGCCGGAGGGTCCCTGCTGGCCTACGTCTCCCCTGGTCCCATTGCAGCCATCATAGCCAGGCGGTCCTCTGGGTCCACCTTGCCCAGGATGTCCCTGGGAAAAAGAAAAGTAAGTGAGTCATCCAGCCCACAGGCGTTTAGTTTTCATGTAACTGTGAGATATAACGGTTTGAAATCTTCTCATAATCTTCTCATAAGAGATGACCCTGGCATGAATCCAAGAGAAAAGACAGCTCAAAATGAATAAACAAATGAATGAATGAAAGATTCAGTAGACAAAGGCATAGGGGTGTAAGTCTAAGCAGAAGAAAGGCCTTCAAGAGAAAGTTCTGTGTCCCACAGGTTTTGGTGAGAAGTAAACCTTCACCTTGCTTCATGGGGTGACTGGGAGAATGGCTGTGGCAGGGGCAGGTAAGGATAAGTTTAAAAATTCAAGAAAAAATTCTAGAAGCAGCTAGCTAGCTCCTTCTCAGGGACAACAAGGGCACCTTGACCTGTTGTGACCAATACTCTTTCTTTCTTTTTTAAAAAAAATTAAATTTATTGGGGCAATAATAGTTAGTAACCAACTGACTTTTGATGGTAAGTTGGACAGATCCACATCCTAACCAGGAGATTCACACCTGGGAATTCATCAGTGGCTTAGCCATAGGTAGAAGAACTGATTTTCTCTTTTTACTTTCTTTGGGAAAGCTCCTTGTGAGATTTTAAATGTTAATTGAAAGCAAGTCAGGTGTTCTGAGATGTCTGGTGGGACAGGGAAGGCAACACGATCAAAAGTCTTTCAAATAACTAGAAAGGGTCGGGTGAAGTCTGTGGGCCTCTCAACTGCATTCATCTGGTTCTGGGAGACATTGGGGGTTTGGTTAACAATCTACAATTTATGCACTATGAGACCACAGCCAATTTTGCTATATCTTTGCATAATAGATGTGTAGATATATGCTTTCTTATTATGTAATAGCTTTCAAATTTTGATGTTTTTTTTTTTAAAGATTTTTATTGGGGAATTGGGGGATGAGAACAGCACTGGGGAATTGGGGGAAGGGGAACAGACAAGTTGCTGTCTTTTTGTTCTCCAGTCTAGTTGTGGAGGACGTTGCTTCACTGGCCCAAGTTGGCACCATCATTGCGCTCTTCCTGGGCGAGGCACATCAGTCACCGGCTTCTGGACAGCCGCTCATGGCGGCTGCTTGGCTGCTCATGCTGGCTGCTGGCTACACACAGTAGCCCATGGCAACCCACTACAGCAGGGGCTGCAGCTTACACCATCGCTGGCCACTCCCGGCAGCCCAGCTCCAGGTTGAGCTGTTGTTCAGCATCTTAGCTGTAGAGGGCAGTGTCACTGGCCCTCATATGTGGGATCAGAACCGGGGCCCTCTGGCGTCCCAAGCCAGCTCTTAACCAATGTGCCACTCGGCCGGCCCTCAAATTTTGATTTTCTTGATAATAGACCTAACATATATTCCAGAGTGATTTTTGAGGCCTTGAGGATATCTTTTAGATTTGCTTTGAGGAATTTGGAAAATTTCAAGGTAAATGAACAAGTCCTACATGTAGTGCCTGTACCCTGAATGATAATAAGAAATACAATGAGAAAAGTAGAATTTTTCTTTCTTTTGCACATCTCTTTGCTTGAGGTGTTCAAAGACATTGCTTCAACTGGTACCATCAGATAAGAGATCCAATAGACTTTTCAGTCAATCCTCTGAGGGATCAGGGAATCCTGGCTGTACCTGGAAATCATGGAGCATAATCTCCAGCAGTTAGAGAGCCAGCTGTCTGATGGTGTTTGAAGTAAAGACCTCTGTTTTGGGGTCTCCGAAAGCCAAGCCTTCAAATTCAGTCTGACAAAAAAAAAAAGTTCTGTAGGTGTTCTGCTCAGGATCCTAGTATTCTGGGATGTTTTTGATTAAAATGTACCATTGGGTTCCTTATTCTTCTCATAAATTATCTGTCTGCTATTGGTCTTTCCGACTTTCTTAGAATTCATTTGAAATTGCATATCAACCTGATCTTCATCTGAAATGGTACTTCAAAGAAAGATTTCAATTATATTGAGCTAAATGTCCATCTCCTTTTGTTCAGCTGCTTAGATACATTTCTATATGATGCCACTCTAAGATTTTACTGCCCATTAGTTTTACATACAACTTCTAAACAGCTAAAATTACCCGGCTTCTTCAAATGCTATATGCATTAACTGCTTAGATATGGTGGGTGACATTTAGTTCTATGGCTAAACAGACTATTTAGAAAATGATCAGTCATCTGTTCACCATGATCACTCTCCCATTTGATGGCTACTTACTTCCTAATTTGTGAAATATTTGCTTCCGATGCTCAGTATGAAGTGGAAACACAAAATATGATACGGATTAGTTACAATATTTTCCCATAATATCACTCCATTTAAACTCAGATTTCAACTTCCAAAAGACAAAAACTGATGAACAGTCCAAAGAGTTCAAGAAAGTCTTTTAAAAATGGGTGATTTAGTTTGAAGCAGCTGGTAGAAAATTACTTTCATTATTTATTTAACCCTTGAAATCTGCACCTTCGTCAACTGTGTCAATTTCTCAAGGTTTTGACTAATGTGAATGTTATTTCCTTATTTATTCATAGCTATGTGTTTGGTAACTTATGTATCTATTTGAGCACCCCATCCAGGTAACACTTAGGATCACCGGCCATGTGGGCTCACATCTTCATAATTGTGGCTTCCTTTCTTTATCTCTGATCGCTTTCTTCTACTGTTGGCAAAAGCCTTAAATGCGGAGTTAAAGACCTGAAGGAAGAGCATGAATTCTCTGACTACTCTCTATTCATGTTCTTCCTCCAATCTCCTGCAAGGGAGCAGCCCTGCTTGTGTAGTCTCGGGGTGTGTGTGTGTGTGTGAAGATTTTCCCTCTGCGTGAGTGTGTGCACGCACGCATACACGCGTGTGCATGCACACGGGTGCAGGTGTGTGCATGTGTATGCATGCGTGCATAGGTGTGTGCGTGTGTGTGCGCGAGCACAGTGATAGCATGTGTATGTAGGGAAAGGGTGCAGACATCTGTGTGTGAGGATCCTGAAGCAGATGACCTTAAACTTCAGTGGTAGACAGATGGGGCAGGTCTGAATGTGCGATAAACACATTTATCTCCAAGGCTGGGCTCTGCAGGAAGCCGGCCCTGGGAAATCTGCTCATGGATCCCTGTGAAGCAGGCTGTGAGTCAGGCTGCTTTGTTTATTTTTTTATGCTACAAGAAGTAAAGTAAACTAGGTTAGAAAAACACATTTTGTTGCATTTTGAGATTTTTCTCATGGACAAGCCATGCCTTCTCTTTTTCCCCGTTTATGTGTGGTTACTACAAAGAATTTGAGACACTGCATTTGTGCAGCAGGACTTCATTACATTCACGGTCTTGGCTGCGCTACTTTATATTCAGGTTGTTTTATAGTTCAAACAAAATTTCAAGACTGGCTCTTTATTGAGCATATCTGAGCAACACTGCAGCTTTTTATTACAAAACAATGTCCAATTTTAGCAAAGCAGTCTCAATTCTGAAGCCAAGTCTGGAAGAACGTTTACAAAGGAAACAATTTGTCCAATATTTGACTGGATTCCAGGAGAAAACATACGCACATATAGCCCCACAAGTTTTATGTTATAAACAAAAAAAGAGGTTAAGTTCAAGATGTCTCAGTTAAGTCATAAAAGTACTGCTTCGCATGCATATCATGTTTTAAAATTCTAATCTTACAGAAAACTTACGGGAATTCCGTCGGCACCAGGGAACCCAGAAACGCCTCTTGCTCCCTATAAAGAAAGCAAATAAACTTAATGAAGGCCAAGACACCCACCGTCCTTCATAAAATTAGAGGAAATATCTACAGTTTTCCATACCACATCTCCTTTTGGTCCTGTGATCCCAGGAGCGCCCCTTTCACCCTTGTCACCTTTGCGGCCCTGCAGTCCTGGGAATCCTTGTAACCCTGGGGGCCCGGTATATCCCTGGGGACCCACTGGCCCTGGTTGACCCTGTAGAAACAACATACATTCATTTTCAACAATTAATAGCAATGAATAAACACTTTTAGTCACATGGCTCTTGAAACAACAATTTTCATTCTCAAAGAGCTATAATCTTCAGAGAACACTATACACAAATTACCATCTTCTGCCATGACAGCCACAAAGTGATTTCTGGCAAAGGAAGAAAAGTCATAGAGTTTAAAGGAAAAAAACACACAAAACTAAATGTAAGAAAAAAATTTCCCAAATTACTAAAGTGATGTTACTGTGGAATGATAATATTGGCCTGGAAAGAATCTACTTGGCTTTTTAGAAGAAGTCTTTTCAGTATATATAAAAAAAATTCCAAACAAATTTCTAAGATTTTTATCTCTACCTCAATATAATGCATACAATAGATACAGAAATGTATATTGCATTCAGGTATCAAAATGCTCCCCAGATGTTTAAGTGATTAGATAATCTCTTCTTTGGTTCACACACACATTGCACACACACAGAAAAACAATAAAAGTTTTCTGAAACATATAAAAATGTATGTCCATATCCATAGGATGGCTGGTATTAAAAAAAAAAAAAAAGAAAACTATGTGTTGATGATGACATGAGAATTGGGAACCCCTGTGCAGTGTTGGTGGGAATGTAAAATTATACTACCACTGTGGAAAACAGTATGCTGGTTCCTCAAAAAATTGAAAATATAATTACCATATGATCCAGCAATTCTACTCCTGGGATGATACTCAAAAGAACTGAAAGCAGGGACTTAAACAGATACTTCTACATCCATGTTCACTGTAGCATTTTTTACAATAGCCAAAAGGTGGAAGCAAATAAATAAGGACAAATAAATAAGGATCAATAAAATGTGGTTCATCCATACAATGTAGTGTTATTCACCTTAAAAAGGAAGGAAATTATGACCCATGCTACAACATGAATGAATCTTGAGGCCATTATGCTAAGTACAATAAGCCAGTCACAAAAGGACAAAGACTGTGATTCCGCTCATATGAGGCTCCTAGAAGAGTCAAATACATAGAGACAGAAAGGGGAATGGGGGTTGCCGGAGGCTGCCGGGGAGGAAATGGGGAATCCTTGCTTAGTGGGTGCTGAATTTCAGTTTGGGAAGATGAAAAAGACCTGGAGATGGAAGGTCGTGATGTTTGTACAACAATGTGAACGTACTTCAATGCTATTGAACTGTATAAAAATGAATAAAATGGTAAATTTTACATTATGCATGTTTGACCACAATAAAAATAAAAAAAGATTAAAAAGGAGTTCCATCTCTCTTACTAATGGACTAATTTATGTATTATATCTATGTTTTAATGAACCTCAGGTTAGCCTAAATTAATAAAAAAAGAACCCTCTATGTGTTGATTCCTCTTTTACTGATGAATCTGCTGTTTATTCTCCATACAGAATCTTCATCTGCCAAGTCCTATTTGCTTTCACATTTCAAATTCTTATCTTGCCTTTCGAATGAGGGGGTCTGAGCCATTATTTCTAGTCTGCTTTTCCATTGCCTGTAAGTAAGTAACATTTCCTATGTAAACTGTGTGGCTAAAAAGTTTGTTTGTCTTTACAGAATGTTTATAATCTCTCTGCAACATTCCACGCAATTGAGGTGATGTGAACAATTTCAAAATGCAGCCCAAGCTGCTGTATTAACGTCACAGAGCACTGGCATGGAGGGGTGCGGGGAGGTCTTGCTTCCGAATTTCATAATCATTCCTACGCTGCCCTTTAGATATTGGGTCCCAGGTGTGGGGGAAACAGTTAAGACATTTCTTTGCGATGGAAGATATGGTAGATGTGAGCAATCCCAACGCTTGGGATACCTGCCTTCTTGGACAAAGGGGAGTTTTGGGAAGGCCCCTCAGGCCTTCCTGTGGGCAAGGTCAGAGTTTTAGAGATGGTGGGTTCTCCTGCTCTCCCCTCCACACGTTCCAGAAGAGTCCAGTCAATGCAGAAATCAGCATATAGTCACCTAGGGCAGCCTGACTGCAAGCATCTTACGTCGCGGTAAAGCCAATGATATTAAATATCTTTGAAGAATATGATAAAAGTGGGGCTATCGCTATTGTTTGTTTCTTCCTAGTTGAGGGGAATTGTGGTCAAAGACAGACAGCCCTGGCCTTGGATACATGATATCCCAGGCTCATTCTTGTCTAATTCTAGTCCGGTGTTTTAGTATCCTACATTTGTTATAAGTTTGATAACGTGCTTTGATTCTGATTTTTATGGCTATTTCCCAGTGGTGCTTATCTTTGTTTTGTTTGTGGTTTTGTTAGAACACAGCCTTTTTGTGATTCTATACCATGACTCCAAGCCTTCCAGGTCCCCTAATCATGGTGAGGCTTATCAGTGTTTACAGGGAGCATCCTTTGGGGCATAAAATGTTCCTCATCAGCACTGTCGTTTTTACTGCCCATAAACGACATCTCCATCTGGGGGATTACTGTACGGAGCCAACTAAGGGAAACATCTGCTGCTAACTCAAAGGGAATATGTGTGTCTTAATGATGAAAAGCCATATTCTTGTCTTGCATTCATTAACCTTTCCTCAATTCTCTTTGATGGGGAAAGTGACTAACAACGTCACGTACTCATTTTCCTTCCATGTTCAGTAACTTTTATTTATTGGATGGGAAGTCTGACTTTTGGAATAAAACTTTAATCTTTCCTTTTCTGGATCATGCTCTCACTTTTTTTTTTTATTGAGGTGAAATTCCCATAACATAAAAGTAACCATTTTATTTATTTTTTGTTCTGTTTTTTAAAACTCACCATTTTAAAGTGACTTCTAGTACATTCAGATTGTGCTCTATCCACCACCTCTATCTAGTTCCAAAACATTTTCATCACCCCAAAAGGAAACCTCATACTCACTGAGCAGTCACTCCCCATTCTTCCCTACCTCCAGTCTCTGGAAACTACCAATCTGTTTTTGGTTTCTACAGATTTATCCATTCTTGCTATTTCATAGCAATGAAATCATATATGTACTATGTGATCATATTACTGGCTTCTTTTACTTAACATAATTTTTTGGAGGTTTATCCATGTTGTAGCACATATATCAGTACTTCATTCATTTTTATGGCTGAATGATATTCCATTGTATGATGGATAGAACACAATTTGTTGTGAATAGTGCTATGAACATGCATGTACAATTATCTGAGTACCTGTTTTCAGTTCTCTTGGGTATATAACTAGGAGTGGAATGGCTGGATACTATGGTAATTCTATGTTTAACTTTTTGAGGAGCTGCCATACTGTTTTCTATATTGGCAGCACTATTTTACATTCCCTCCAACAGGGTGTGAGGGCTCCAAATGTCTCCACATTCCTGCCAACAATGGTGTTTTGCATTAAAAAAATGATAGCCATCCTTATGGGTGTGAAGTTGGTGTCATTCTAAAGAGCTCATCTTGAGCTCTGACAGATGGAACATTCCACAAAATTCCACTGAGTTTCCTGGAAGGGCCAGGAAGAGTCTGGAGAGAATCAGAATTATATCCTTTGTCCTCTGGGACCGAACCCTCAGTCTTGCCTACGTGAAAATCCTGCATTGCTGGGAATAAACGGACATTTACGTCACAGTCCAAGGACTTTCGTATGCATGTTTTGGTCACCAGGGACTGAGATTTCCCCTAGGATATCTTGCCCATGAGGGCATCTAACGTGTTTTGTAAAGAACAGTTGGAATGTGTGGTAAATGAAAAGGATTTCCCTCTGTGCTAATCATCATCATCATCAACTTCCATCCTCAGTTGAAAAGCCCTAATCGGAAAAGTTATTTCCATCTCTTCCTTTCCTTTTGTAATAAGTGATGTTAAAAATAAAAATTACCCCAGAAACAGTAGGAATTTAGTTTAAATGTCTTTGCATAACTCTCAAAAGCTCCTAAATTTCTAAAGCTCTTAAAATTCTTGCAATATACTTGATAAAAGTATTCCCACAAAATGTTTCTTAAAAGCCAGCAGACCCCACCCTCACCAGATATTTTGATTCACATAGATATATTATTTTCTAGGAAACAGGACAGCAAAAAGTGTCATTTAATTGTTTATCTTCTGGGATGAAGCACTGTTACAGGTTTTAAAAAATGCCTTATTTCATTTTATCCCTATGACAAATGCATCAAGTAGGCATCTCCCCCACTGTGAGAGGACAGACAATTCAGGCTCAGGCCCTGGGGCCCTGGGAAGGTTCCGTAGGGAGAGTTCACTGTTGTTATGCAGTTAGGTCTGGTGAGTGGGGCTGACTCTGAAACCCTCCATCTTCTATCACACCCGTGAGGTCTGCGGGCAGTATCAGGCGCTTGGGAGCTTGTGAGAAATACAGACTCTCAGGCCCGGCCCAGACTTCCTGACCTGCATTGAACATGATCTTCAGGCGGGTTCTTAGTACTGTGAAGTTTGAGAATCACTGTACAACCCCACTTTCCTTCCCTTGCTGACGCTGTTATGGGAGGACAGCTATCTTTTATAGATAATAAGAAAAACCTCTTAAGCACAAAGTTGAACCTCAGAAGAAAGGTTAGGCTTACTGAGTCAGGCAGAGGGAAATCTAATATTTATGTCTGTGAAATATGATTTCTAATGAAATTTTATTGGTCTTATGCTTCCACAAGAACAAGATATCTGTAACAAGACAGAATGAACTTTGCTCGCTGTTGGGAGGGAAGGTTGCACAATGCCTCCCCCTTTTTGAAATCATTACTGGGGCATGTGTGGGACGTCCAGGGTCAGTTTTGGAAGCCAAGGTCTGAAAAACTGGACAGAATGACTCCAGATTTGAATGTACATTGCTTAAATACCACTACCGTGGATAGAACGCACTCCAAGTCCTGAGATTCTTACTAAGCTTTTATGAATTTGGGATTTTCACTCTTAAGAAAAGGGGTCAAATATAATTGTATATGTGCACATGCAAAATAACTAGACAACTTCACACTCTAAAATAAAGGTAGAAGACCGATGATTAATTAG